TGGTTGGGGCGTGGGCCCAAAAGTCCAGCCCACTGGTGAGAGGGATAAGTAATCTGCCAAGGAGAAAGCTGCCCAGGGAAGTGCCGATAGGAAGTTCCGCCGTTTCGTCCTCGACCTCGACCGCGAGTCGGTCGTACACCGCGGCCTCCGTGCGATTGTCCCCGTCCGCCATACGCCTGGGACGGTCCATTACTGCCGCTTCTGAGTCCGAGATGCTGTCCGCCATGACCACCGAAGCCAGGGCCGCGAGGGCCTCCTCCGCCCTGTGCTGCCAGCGCTATGCTCCCCTCGCCGGCGGCAGGTCGCCGCTGTCCCTCGAGAAGAAGGAGGGCTGATCGGGTCTCCATGAATGTTGGCGGGGGTTTTTGAAACTGTAAGAACGACGCTTGATTGCTTAGATCCTCCGGGAGGCCACGTAGGGTTTGCAAGACAAGTTGATTCTCGATGACCGGGGCATCGACATCGTCAAGCCAATCGACAATATTTCGAAGCGTCTGACAATACGTGGCAATAGTAGATGTTCCTTTGACGGTGTTGAAGAATTGTTGCTCCAATTGCATGGCTCTTGCCGCTTTGTTATCGTGAAACAGGTTATGAATCGATTTCCAAAGATCTGCAGCGGATGTGGTGGAAGAGATGATGAGATCTGATACCTCGTCGTTGACGGTGGAGAGAATCCACCCCTGAATAAGGGCGTTTAGTTGGAGCCATTCGACGTCATCTTTTCCGGTTGAGGTTTTCTCACCGGTGAGAAAGCCGTCAAGGTTGAAACGCCGAACCAAAAGAAGGAAAAGGCGGCTCCATTTTTTGTAGTTTGGTTCCGAAAAACTGAGGGTAATAGGAACCTGGAGTTTGACGTTAGAGATCGTTGTGAAAGCAAGATGGGGGGTGTTTGATTTTTCCGAAGCCATAGAGGAAAGTTGTGGGGGGTTGTTTTAGAGAGAGAGTGGTGTGAGGGGCTGCCGGCAGGAAGAAAGTGCCGTGAGAGAGAGGGAGAGACGTGGCGGTAGAGAAAGCAACGCCGGGAAGGAGAAGGTTTCGGGGTTAGCCGAGAGTTGGCTCCGATACCATGAAAAATTATTATTTTCTCTAATTAATACGAAGTACAATGATTCTACCTCCCTTTATATACAAAGTGGAGGGGTTTACAATAAGGAAACAATATTATATATGGATCCTATACAATTATGGTATATATTATAATTGATACAAGGAATATACTTAACATATATAAATAAATATGCTTAACATATTTAACAAAAACATTTGTGATTCTATAATTTTTTGCCACCACATTAATTCAAAAACCCCTGAATTACCAATCTTATTATTGTATGACTGAGAAAAACATGATCCCCAAACTTAGTCGTCTATTGTTGTATTGAATTTTAATGTACAAATTAAAATATATTTTAAACTTTAAATTTTATATCATTATGTAAATAAATAGAATAAAAATTAACTTCATTTCGGCATATTATAAACAACTATGAAACTTATTTAGAGGTGAAGAGAGTATCTTATTTCTTCATTGAAAGTATTATTATAAATGAAATGAAAAATTATAAAATTAATAATGAATATTCTAAAAAGCGTATATTTCTGTTCCATAATTAAATTTAGGAAAAATTATCCAAAATAATCCCAACTTTACCCGGTCTTTCAAAAATAATCTCACCTTTCATTGTGATGCATAATAATCCCAACTTTACTGAGGGTTAACGGAAATGCACGTTTTAGGCAACAAAATGAAAGTTGTGATTATTTTTGATGAATTTTCATTTTTTTATTTTTTTTAAATTTTTCATTTAATTTTTTAAAATTACTTTCTACCTCCATCATCATTTCTTTTTCCTTTTTTAAAGATTAGTCTTAGTTTAAAAAATAAAAATAATAGATATAAAAAATGAAAAATGTAACTAAAATGAAACAAAAATAATTAAATAAATAAGGTAATCAATGGAAACTAACTTGAAATTGGTAAAAGTAAAATAAAAATATACGGGTGGGTTTTAATATTTTACGTATTATACAAAGTATTAACATATCACTTTTTATTTTTTAGAAAAAATTATCTACAATAATTCCAACTTTGTCGGACGGCTTGTTTTTTTTAAAAATAAGTAGTACATTAAGACTCCCTATGTGCAATGGCAAGGAAGAGGCATGCCATGCACAGCCACATCAGCTTCTTCCACAAATATCATGGCATGACAAGGCTAAAATGCCTTGCTTTGTGAGGCATGAGTGTGGCACTCCATCCTTCTTTTTTTATTCTTTTTAAATAAATTTTTTTAAAATTTTTTATGAGAAAAATGTACAAAAAAGTAGAATAATTTTTTAATAAAATAAATAATAAAAATATTTTTTTATGCTTAAAAAACATAAAAAATTGTAAAAAAGTGATAAAAAATAATGACTTGCCACTCCATTCACTTGCCACACGCTGACAAGACTATTTTTGATTGGTTAAAATGTTCCATGTCACCGTGTGGCATTCCTTTTTTGCCTTGCCATTGTTCATGCTCTAAAACCCACCACTCCGTATATATTTATTTTATTTCTGACTAGTTTCTGTTTAATTTCTATTGATTACATTATTTATTTGATTAATTTTGTATGGTTTTAGTTATTTTTCTCATTTTCATTATTTTTTTATATCTATTTTTTTCTAAGGTAAGAATAATCTTTAAAAAAGAAAAGGCAATGGAGGTTGAAAGTAATTCAAAAAATTTAAATAAAAATTTCAAAAAAAATTAAAAAACAAAAATTCATCAAAAATAATCTCAACTTTCATTTTGTTGCCTAAAACGGGCATTTCCGTTAACCCTCCGTTAGAAACTTAACGGCGACCCAAAACTGGCAAATTTTAGTAAAGTTGGGATTATTATGCATCACAGTGAAAGGTGGGATTATTTTTGAAAGACCGGGTAAAGTTGGAATTATTTTGAGTAATTTTTCCTTAAATTACTCAATGATAGTGAAATTGTAAAGAATGCTCATGTAAACATTATAAGTGAGAGTAATACATGATTAAAAGTATCATAGTACAAAATAAAAATTTAAAATTAATTTCATTTCAAATTAAATCGTAAATAATAAATCATCTAAAAACTATAAAACATATATTTTCAAGTAATTGAACCAAATCATAAAATCAAAATGATCAAACTATCAAATTATATCTGGGACATTGTTTTACTTTAACATTTCTATTGTTCAGTCATCTCTTGTTTTATAGAACTTTTATTATAGTTCTTTTAAAAAAAATCTAAAATATGAGTAAAACATAACTCTTATCTTCAAAATAGAAGTGACATGTTTCTATTATCAAAATAGAATTTTCCATTGTAAGAATGAGACGCTAAATATTGTCATTTCATAGTACTTGTTGGCATTATTCGTTGACATTATTGATACTATAAGTCTTATTTTAGGGATAAAAATATGAAGGTTTTATTTTAAATTGTTTCTTATGTTTTATCCTCTTTTAAGAGAACATGGAGAAAATTAATCTCGGGTGATCATGATTTTGTTAAAATAACTCGCAAGTCCATCTATTTTTAAAAAGACATCATGAATCCTTACATTTTGTTGTAAAAAATGAAAGGGGTCATTCTCTCAATTATTCCATTTAATGAACATTAAAAAACGTATTTTCTCGTTTGTTCCTTACTGTAGTCATTTAAATTGCCTCTATTATTTTATATTAGATAATCAATTTTGAATTTTTTGAAAAGTATTTACATCAAAAATTGAGAAAACTTAATGAAAATATAAACAAAGAGAAGAAAAGTATTAAAAAGTGAAAGCCTTTGGCTTTATTAACACAAAATGATTAAGAGCAAAATGGGAAAAATGCATTTTTAATGGTCATTAGCGAAATAATAAATGAAACATCCCCTTCTAGTCTTTACTCCATGATGTCTTTTTGATAATGAGAGGACATGCAAGTAATTTCAACAAAACTCACGTCTCCCAATTGTAATTTTATGCCTATTTTAGTTTCTCTATTGTAATTTTATGCAATTGTAAGTCAATATTTAAATAAATAAAATCAAAACCAATTTCTTTAATTTAAAATTTTAAATATTGTAAGTCAATATTTAAATGTAGCATAGGAAAATATTAAATTTATTTAGATGTGAAGAGTCGAAGAGAGTATCTTATTTATTATTTGAAATTTTTATCATAAATGAAGAGGAAAAATGAAAAATAGGAGAGAATATTATAAAAAAGCAAAAATCTCTTTTGTGTAATAAAATTTACCAAGTGATATTATAAAAAAGCAAAAATCTCTTTTCCATAATAAAATTTACCAAGTGACTTCACACCAAACTATTAATTTCTTATTTTGCATGTTATAAATTATGTGGTATATTAGGTGTCAAAAGATGCCACATATTAATGCATGACAAAAATATGACACACCTTGTTCCTGTGTAGGGTTTATAAAAACACAACACAAAAAAATCATTAAAACATTAAGACCTAGTTGCACCATGTGCATGTTTTTTTAAAACAACATAAAAAATATCAAAACACTAAACCCAGACAATTGCGTCAAAAACCATGTTGATTTTTGAGGTTCAAATACTTTCATCCTCGAAAGTCAGAGCCATTAATAGTTAAAAGCTCTGCATTGTTTTTCACAGCTGTCAGACAGAGTGTTATGCTAACCTCTACATCACAAACACACAGAACTATAAAGAACAACAAACACGACACACAAATGGTTTACGCAGCTCGGAGCTAATTTTCCTACGTCTTCGAGGCCCACGTCCGTGTAATAGCCTTCCCACTATATCACTGTAGAGTTTACACCCTCAATAACAATAGAATCAATCTAAGTATCGATCTAAACTCTATAATACAATGGGAATGCAACAGACTCGGTTTGTGCATACATGTCAAAGACTGAAACACTTCAACTTATTTGTGACGTGTTACTGGCCTGTGCTCCAGTATAACTCAGATCTACTTCTGGAACGCTCCTTGAGAATTCAGCGTATTTGCTTGTTGTGTGTCACACTCGGTCATCATTGCGTAAGCATTCTTCAGCAACACAGCGGCATGATGATGATGACCGATCAACCAAGCTCGTAGTAATATGATCTCTCTTGTCTCTCTTGCTAACTCTATGTATTTTCCCGTCATCAAGAGAGTAGGTTGGCCGTATATTTATACTTCTCTAAGAAGTCACCAACCCTAGCAGAGTCCTTGTGTGACACCACTACAACTCACAACGAATCACATTTATTGAGAGTTATAGCTAGTGCAAACTCTTTAGAGAATAAACTTCCATCATGCAGCAGCTATGCGTTTTTTCACTCTATCCAGACTGCTTCTCGAAATATGTAAGCATGGCGACCCAGAACCACCGGGACTAGTAGGGTGATGGACAAGAGGCTACAGCTCTATGAACCACACGGTTAAACCAACAACAAGAAAACTACTACTCATGGATTTTTTCAAAAAATAATGCCAACCATAAAGACATACACAATGCTAAGGAACCAACAGGCTATGGAATAACAAAATCTCCAGATTCAAAATCACGCATTGGAGAAAATTGTTGCTCTTGAAGAGGACAATGCGTCTGAGACTCACTCTGGAACCGAATCAAACAATGTCTTAATTCTTGAATGTCAATAGAGCCAATCACCAATTATATCGTGAACAAGATAACATTTGAAGAAATGATTGCAGAAGTACTAAGGTGATGCTTCCTGAAGTCCCTCCAAGTCAACTTGTACAAAAGGTGGAACCGACCAAGGAGCAAGTCTTTGAATCGCCTACACCCACTGCACAAGAGAAGTTGGAGGAATTCATGCATTTGGCTGCACCTATCCTCCTAACATGTGTTCAACACATGTCTCTAGAGAAACTTGTTCTGGAGAAATCCAAGCCGACTGTCAACACCCTCAATTCCGATACTATTGTTTGATACTGATCCTATCCCATCTATAGAAACCCTCACTGCTGAAGTCTCACCGGAAGATTCAGACGAAACTTTCTTTGACTCCCTACTTGACGGGTATGACCATTCTTACCGAAAGGAAAGTTATAATCAAATGAGCTGGGACGATCTTGTGATGAGCAACACTGAACACTCAGGGGAAGGACTTTTCGTAATCATCGATCCACCAACCGAAATTCAGCTCAATAGAAACATGGAATGTCACGACCTGGCACTGAAGGCCAATGATGTGGATACACCGAGGAGACTCCCACCACCACCCATCTAAAAGGAGTCTCCTCCATATTTCCTGTTGCCACCAAGCCGCAGGAACAAGTCAAGGATCCTGGAATTTGACCGTAAAAGAACAGAACAACAGTGGCATAATAAGAAGAGAGTCAAAAAGGCCGAGCTTTAAGACTCTCGGATTGGTAAGTCCCGTAAAAAATGGATTAACGTCAAGCTTGGGAGGCAACCCAAGCGAATAAAATTTATTTTCCTTTTTCTTTTTACGTTTGTTTTATTTGTTTTATTTGTGTGCCGGTGGAGCTAGGAATTAGGAGTGCTGGTGACCTATTTTTGACTCAACAAAAAATAAGTTAACTTACTTTTTTGCATAACATTTTTGTAAAATCATTTTCAAAAATGAGAATTGTCTTTGTCCCAAACTCTTATTTTTATTGCTTAATGACCTCGAGGGCGAGGTCAACCCTAAGTGTGTGGAGATTGGAGTTTGGTATAAAATATTTTTATTGCATTATTTTTTTTACACTGTTTACTCTTTTCATAATTTTTTTTTAATAGCACCCTTATACAAAAATTAGCCAAAATTTTTTAAACTTTTTCGTTAAATTTCTCATATAGTCCTTTTATGAGCTAATGACATGGGTGTCCCCCTTGGTTTACAAAAGAGGCACCAAAACCCCCTCTATTTTCATAAGTTATTTGTAAAATCCTCGTGATTTTTGAATAGCACACAGACACTCCCTCTTACTTATTTTTAGAATTAAAATAATATTTATGCCCTTTCTTTTCCTCTATTTTCAAGTTTCAATCTTTTATTTTGATTTTTCCTTTATTCCAAATAAATAAAATAAAATATACACTCTCTATCTCAAATTAAAATTTTCCATTTATTTATTTTTTAAAACAAAATAATTTTTTTAGAAAACATTACAGAAGAAAACAAAAAATGAAATAAAATACACTTTTTTATTACAAGTAAAAGTAAAATAAATAAAATAGAAAAATTAGATAACATATACTCGCTCTACTCAAATTAAAGATTTTAACTTATTTGTTTTTTAAAAGTAAAATAATTTTTTTGAACTTTAAAAAAATTTAGAACGGAAAGATGAAATAGATACAGAGTTAAAGAAAAAGATTGTTTTTAATTTTTTTTCTTTCTTTTCATTACCTTTTTCAATTATTTTTTTCTTTTACTTTGTACATAATATTTTATTTCATTTTCCTATTTGAAAATGAGTTGTAAAAATAGATGCATGGGATTTTGAAGCCACATGGACTTTACAAATAAGTTGTAAAAATAGATGCATGGGATTTTGAAGCTCTTTTCGTAAACCACGAGGGACATCCATGTTATTAGCCCATCCTTTTATTGGCTACATTTAAAACGTTTTGTAAATAAATAAATTTGGATACTAAGGTGTTGAAATTTAAATCATTTTTTAGTTAACTACGTTAAGGTCAAAAATTTGTAACTTGACATTTATTTGTTAGTCTAAACGTGCACTGTTCCGTTATTTCAAATTGAGTATAAGCAGTATACTTTTCTAAAAATTTGATATTTTTATGATTGTTGCAATTCTCAAACCAAATATGCAAGAGCTATCAGAAGCCTAATGTACCTTAGGAGCTGCACGTGGCCGGATTTAGCTTGCGTCATTAGCAAACTAGGTAGCTAGGTATACTAGTAATCAGAACACTGAGCACTGGAAGGCTATAGTACGAGTGATGACATACCTTCGGTATACTCGAGATTATAGTCTATGCTATGGCAGGTATCTGCTCGTACTAAAAGGGTGCACTGATGCCATTTTAAACAGAACCTAATTCCGGAAACCTAATGACCTTCGTATCATTGAAAAACTCCAATTACGCAAGGAAAGAAATCTCCCTACAAATTGGAATGGGTAGTTTCCTTTGTCGTTTGGATTCTCTGTAAACGCAGCGCCGTAAAGCCATTCCTTTGATTTTTTATTACAGTTATTTATGAAACACAAGGCAATATAGTCTGTTCCAAGCCCAAAAGAAAAGAAAGGAGTTTTCAAATTTAGGGGTATTTTGATTATTAATATTTCTATTTTGTATATAAATATATATTATAAAAATAAAATATTTTAAAACTATGTTTTATAATTAGCCTATTAATATTAAATTCATATGAAAATTCAATATATATTTCCATAATATTTCAAAAAAGGTTGAGTGAGGAAAATATTGGAACCTTAATTTAAAGAGGTGGGAGTAGACTCTAGTACTCCCTAGTCGTCACTTTGGATAGCTGTTAAAATATTGAAGTTTACTACTCCCTAGTGGTAATTAAGTGATGTGGTCGCCATCAATAATTTAATCTTGTGTAAAGGAAAAAGTGAAAAAGCTTATTACGTCTTTCCATTATTTATACTCATCGCCATCACATTGGTGAGCACGTCGGGAAAAAGAAACGAAATCGAACATCTTTCGATCCATCTTGAGAGAATGGTTTTCACCAGTTTGATCCGCCGTTTGTTTCTTTTCGATCTTTTTGGAATGATGGTGCGACTATCCTGCGGTTCAGAACCTCTTTCAGGTCCCCTAACCGTGGTCAAGGGTGCACTTGCTGAGGGTGCTATGTGCCTCGATGGTAGCCCTCTCGCTTACCATTTTGCTCCCGGAAATGGCGACGGCGTAAAAAACTGGATGGTCTATCTCCAAGGAGGTGGGTGGTGCATCAATAACACCATGCACCAAATTTGGGATCGTGCGGTGGAGAGTTGTTCCGACCTTGCCGCCACCAGGGCCGGTTCATCCCTCTGCATGGGACCTTATAACTTCACCTATATCTTCTCTGCTCGCGCCAACGAAAGTTATTTTCATAACTAGAACATAGTGGCGGTGCGGTATTGTGATGGGGGATCCTTTGCAGGGGATGTGAAAAACCCTGACCCGGTCACTCATCTATACCATAGAAGGGCGAGGATCTTTCGAGCGGTCATCAGAGAGTTGATGACCCGAGGCTTAAAAGATGCTTAAAATGTTCTTCTAGCCGAGGGATCATCCGGGGGGCTTGCGGTCATGTTACACTGTGACCGTTTTTATGGGGAATTCCCCAAGAACGTCAGAGTGAAATGTCTGGCCGATAGATCTTTCTTTCTCCTGGTGAAGGATCCTCTCCGGGCAAAATTTTTTAAGGATGTTTTCAGTGCCATTGTCCACGTGCATCACCCTGACCGGGTTTTACCCGCGGGTTGCACGTCAAAACTGAGCGCGGTCGTATGCTTATTCCCCTCAGACCCTTTTGCGGTGCACCCAATCCCCGATCTTTCTTGTGAACTCTACGTTTGATTCTTTTCAGATCCAAAACACGTTTTCGTTGGATCTGTACAATGAAATCAAGAACCATACGACAATTAGTCAGGGGGATTAAGAAAGCTTCAAGACTTTCGACGCCAAATCATCAAGGGGTTACCGCCAGCAAGGTGGGGGGAGAGGATATTTGATAACATCCATCTATGGTCATAGCTTGGCTTCACAAAAAGGTTACAAGATTCCTATGTTTGTGAACAACACCAAGTCAAAGACCATTGAAAGGGTATTTGTGGACTGGTTGTTTGACCGAACACCAATGGTTCAGTTGATTGATCCAGCTGACGAGCCAGTTTACCCTTCACGCACTTAACTTGTTTGAAGCTTCATCAGTAGACTACGTACTCTTCTTAGATTAGCGTTATGCGCTGCATGGCTTAACTTACTATTTTATTATTATTGTTGTTGTTGTTGTTGTTGGCCTAGGGTATTTGATTGTATGATCCACACAGCTTGCTTGTCTTTACTCCTGAAAACTACAACTCCGTATTTGGCCTAGGGTAAAAAATAAAATGCACTCCGTATCTTTAATTATCTCTTACGTACCCTCATCCATAATTAATTCCCCTCACAAAGTCACAATCACGTCATTGAATTGGGTTATAATTAAAATTGATAGGAAACACAAATTTTGCTTGTTGAAACAAATTTTAACTTTTTTCTTAATGCATGTTTCGAATAAAAAAGAGAAAGTAGTGGGAGCAAGTATTATTTAGTCGTACTATTGCTCGTACTGTTTTCTAATAATAATAAGGATAATAATAAAAATAACAATAATAATAATAACAAGAACAAAAGAAGAAGAATAATGAGAACAATAATACTAACAACAACAACAACAACAATAATAATAATAAAATAGTAAGTTAAGCCATGCAGCGCATAACGCTAATCTAAGAAGAGTACGTAGTCCACTGATGAAGCTTCAAACAAGTTAAGTGCGTGAAGGGTAAACTGGCTCGTCAGCTGGATCAATCAACTGAACCATTGGTGTTCGGTCAAACAACCAGTCCACGAATACCCTTTCAATGGTCTTTGACTTGGTGTTGTTCACAAACATAGGAATCTTGTAACCTTTTTGTGAAGCCAAGCTATGACCATAGATGGATGTTATCAAATATCCTCTCCCCCCACCTTGCTGGCGGTAACCCCTTGATGATTTGGCGTCGAAAGTCTTGAAGCTTTCTTAATCCCCCTGACTTATTGCCGTATGGTTTTTGATTTCATTGTACACATCCAACGAAAACGTGTTTTGGATCTGAAAAGAATCAAACGCAGAGTTCACAAGAAAGATCGGGGATTGGGTGCACCGCAAAAGGGTCTGAGGGGAATAAGCATACGACCGGGCCCAGTTTTGACGTGCAACCCGCGGGTAAAACCCGGTCAGGGTGATGCACGTGGACAATGGCACTGAAAACATCCTTAAAAAATTTTGCCCGGAGAGGATCCTTCACCAGGAGAAAGAAAGATCTATCAGCCAGACATTTCACTCTGTTGTTCTTGGGGAATTCCCCATAAAAACGGTCACAGTGTAACATGACCGCAAGCCCCCCGGATGATCCCTTGGCTAGAAGAACGTTTTAAGCATCTTTCAAGCCTCGGGTCATCAACTCTCTGATGACCGCTCGAAAGATCCTCGCCCTTCTATGGTATAGATGAGTGACCGGGTCAGGGTTTTTCACATCCCCCGCAAAGGATCCCCCATCACAATACTGCACCGCCACTATGTTCTAGTTATGAAAATAATTTTCGTTGGCGCGAGCAGAGAAGATATAGGTGAAGTTATAAGGTCCCATGCAGAGGGATGAACCGGCCCTGGTGGCGGCGCGGTCAGAACAACTCTCCACCGCACGATCCCAATTTTGGTGCATGCTGTTATTGATGCACCACCCACCTCCTTGGAGATAGACCATCCAGTTTTTTACGCCGTCGCCATTTCCGGGAGCAAAATGGTAAGCGAGAGGGCTACCATCGAGGCACATAGCACCCTCAGCAAGTGCACCCTTGACCACGGTTAGGGGACCTGAAAGAGGTTCTGAACCGCAGGATAGTCGCACCATCATTCCAAGAAGAGCGAAATGAAACAAACGGCCGATCAAACTGGTGAAAACCATTCTTTCAAGATGGATCGATAGATGTTCGATTTCTTTTCTTTTTCCCGACGTGCCCACCAATGTGATGGCGATGAGAATAAATAATGGAAGGACCTAATAAGCTTTGTTTTTTCACTTTTTCCTTTACAACGGATTAAATTATTGATGGCGACCACATCACTTTATTACCATTAGGGAGTAGTAAACTTCAATATTTTAACAGCTATCCAAAGTGACGACTAGGGAGTACTAGAGTCTACTCCCACCTCTTTAAATTAAGGTTCCAATATTTTCCTCACTTAACCTTTTTTGAAATTTTATAGAAAAATATATTGAGTTTCCATATGAATTTAATATTAATAAGCTAATTATAAAACATAGTTTTAAAATATTTTATTTTTATAATATATATTTATATACAAATAGAAATATTAATAAACAAAATACCCCTCAGTCTGAAAAACTCCTTCCTCTTTTTTTGGGCTTGGAATAGACTATATTACCCTGTGTTTCATAAATAACCGTAATACAAAAACAAAAAGGAAGGAATGGTTCATAAAGCCGTATTCTCTTCATCTAATGTGATTGGTTCTGTGATCTGAATGTAGTCATATTTAAAGTTATTTTTGTTTTGGTCTGATATGATTCTAATAAGAATAAGTAAAAAAATAAGTTGACGATAAAATGGCCTAAGTGTTATTTTTTATTAAAGTAACAATTGAATATTTTTTAATAATAGAGTTGTGCTTTTGAAGATCTAATTACACTACAAGAATCTATCATTTCTGCAACAAGAAAATTCTGTGGCAGATATTTCAAATCCGTAGCAGAATTCATATTAGCGACGATTCTGCAACCAAAAGCGCATGTCGCAAATTTATCATTGCCCGACCGACTTCTGCGACGGAAACATAGTGTTGTCGCAGTTTTGGTGACGAACACTGCGACGGAAAAGCAATCGTAAAAATTGCAAAAACCTGCGACGGGTGGACATTCCGTCGCAGATTTGCGACAACATTTGGTCTGTAGCAGATTTTCGTTGCAGTTTTGGCAGATTCTTGTAGTGATGCTTCAAGATTTTAGAAATCAAATCATCAATCGATTGTCGCTAGCGGGATGCGGGAGAGGATATCCGATAACCTCCCTCTACGGTCACAGCTTGGGTTCACAACTGGCTTACGAGATCCATAAGTTTGTGAACAAGCCAAGAAGCATTGAGAGTGTGTTGGTGGACTGGTTTTATGATCGAACACTTGTGGTTTAATTTATTGATCTAGCAGACGAGCCCTTTTAAACTGTTGTAAAAGAGTTTGTCCGCTAAATATATTAAACTACATGTGCCTGGTCATAAAAGCAGTCCACCAACACACTCTCAATGCTCGTTGACTTATTGATTACAAATATAGGGATCTTGTAACCAAGTTGTTAACCCAAACTGTGACCGTAGAGGGGCGTTATCAAATATCATCTTCCCCACCTCGCTAGCGACAACACATTGCTGATTTGATGTCTGAAATCTTGAAGCATTCTTATATCACCCTGACTCACTATTTGATTCTTCACTTCATTGCACAGATCCGCCGAGAATATGTTTTGGATTTGAAACGAATCAAATGCAAGGTTCGCTATGAAGATCAAGGATTTCGTGTAACCGTAAGGGTTTAAGGGAAGAAGCATGCGACTAGACTTAATTTTGAAGTGCGACTAAGGGGTAAAATCAGTCGGGTGATGAACATAGACTATGGTGTTGAAGACATTCTCAAAGAACTTTGTCCATAGAGGATATTTCACTAGAAGAAAGAGGAAGCTGTAGGTCAGCAATTGACTATCACATTGTTGGGGATTCCCCACTAGAACGACCACATTGTATGATGACTCTAAGCCCCTAGACGATCTCAGCTAGAGGAACATTTCGAGCATCTTTCATCCCTCGTGTCATCAACTCTTTGACGACATCTTGAAAGATTTTCGCCTCTCTATAATGGAGATGAGTGACAAGGTCTGGGTTTTGAGCATTCCCCACAAAGGACTACCTTCACAATACCTTACTGCCACTCTATTCTAGTTATAGCAATAAGTTTCATTTGCGTGAGGAGAAAATATATATGTATGTAAAATTCAGAGGTCTCATGTGGATGGATGTACGGCCTTGGTGGCGGCGCGGTCGGAACAATTCCTAATAGAGTGATCTCATGTTTGATGCATGATGTTGTGGATGCATCACCCTCCTCCTTGGAAGTAAACAATCCAGTTTTTAGCGCCACCACCTTTTCTGGCAACCAAATGATAAGCGAGGGGCTTCCATCAAGACACACGGCGCCCTGAGCCACCGCACTCTTGACCATGGTTAGCGAAGCCGAAATGGGTTTCATAATTGTTGGATAGTCAAAACATCAGTCTGAAGAGAGATAAAAGAAATTAAAGAAACAGATCAAACTAGTTGAACAACCTGTTGTGAAAGCAACTCTCTCAAGATGGATGGATCTTCAATTCGCAGCTACGTAGCTCCCTAGTATATAAAGTTGTCATTAATTAAAAAGATACAAGAAAATTAATCATCAACAAGTGCTAGCTAGTACCGTATACGAGTAAAAAAGTTTGGTTATTTCAGTCTAAAGGAAATCTAAGCTGATATATTAGATGTTGGCTAACCTCCCCAAGATGCATGTGTTTTTGTATTGTGGTGGATGAGCAAGAACTACACTACGGAGAATTATTCTTTTCTTTTTTTTCTCACTAGATTCGTACCCGTGCGATGCACGGTAAGAAATTCTATCAATAATTTATTTACTAATATTCGAAAATAATCAATAAGTACACTATTTCATAAATATATTTCTTAGTTTGTACCAAAAAACTATTTCTTAGTAAGATATAAATGGTGTGCTATTAGTGGTCTACAAATACAAATCACTAAAAAAGTAATTGCATAAATTAAAGGAGAACCACCCAAACAGTCCCAAAAACTCGGCCTTGGGAATGGAGACTCATTTTTTATCACAAAAGATATACTCCGTAATTTTTAAAGAAAACAAAACTACAAAGATTGGATATTCAAAGCATCAAAGATATTTTTTTTCAGCAAAAAACTAAGGAAGAAAATAAGTTCATTTCTCATCAAAGTAAAATCCAAGAAGCCTAAGAACTGGATTACTGACATCAATATGTTACTTGAGATTCAAAAATTTAGTTATCGAAGAATGTTGAAGATATGATGTTTATAAAACAAAAAATTGAACATGGTGAAAGAAATTGTATTTAATGTTCAAAGAGTATTTCCATGAAAAAAGTAGAAAAGAAAAAAGTATTCTTATGTCAACCCATAACAATGGGAAACAAAATTTTGATTGAAGCTTCCTGGCACACAAAAAAAAGTCTAATAAGAATTACATTTCTAAGTATACTTTTAAAGGCCAGAAAAATAAAGTTCGTTTGTTTGTAATTAACTTTGTTTTCTGGCCGTGCATTGCAAAATTGGTAATAACTTTATTTTAAGATTTGCAAAGAAATACTTTGTATTCTGTAACTGAAACTCACATTAGCATGCCTTTTCCATTTTTCAAAACAAACATCTTGGGCTTTTGGCCACCGCAGCTTCACATTTTCATAGTCTTTTACCAAAACTGAACATCCTGAAAAACAGTATTAAGATTGTTAGTAGCTTATTAGTTGCATCTCTCCTTAAAGAAAAATACATAAAAACATTAAAACAAAAATCTTAAAGAGTTAAACTTATTCACTGAATATTAGAATGTAAAGCAAATTCAACTTGTCTTTCAATCTCTTTAATAAGTGTTCAAAAAGCACTCGATTAATCTGTAAATATTGGAGAATTCATGGCCTTCAGGTATAAATTCACTTCCATTTTCACGTATAGGAAAACCTCAGAAGATTGCAACCTATATCAAAGTAGCTATATAAGCATATAACATACGTAATGAGAGTCTACATAGTAGAATGTTTCAACCATCTAACTATATGTAGAATAATGAATTCATGTCATAGTTGGGATGAAAAAAGAAAAATGTTCTTCACCCTTATTTAAGGAGTAGTTTCTACTGTAAGAACACTGCTTCGTATATATTTCCAGATCCAAAGAAGGTAATAAAACTCATAGAGCAAGAAATAACATAAAATGAACAATCCAACCAAAATATCAATCTTAATAAGAAATTGCAATAAAAAGTCCAAAAGGCCTAAGCATATTGTTTTATAGACTTATGCCTAGCAACTAAACCAATAACACATTTTGGTAGGTTGTGTGAAATTCATATCATTTAAAGCTTTGCTGCCTTAAAGTTCTGTAGTATTACTATAAATTATCTCCTTCTAAAAAATATTTTGAGTAGAACTTTACATTGTGAACAGATTTGACTGTATTTGGTTAAGCTACATCTCAAAACTTCAACAAAACACATATAGATGATCTTAAACCATAAAAGCACATAAAACCTCAAATCAGGGAAATTAGAGTATCAACTAATCTCAATTATTATACCACTGATCCAATTAGGTTTGCCAACAAATCTAATTTTGTTTAGAAGATCAGGAAAAAAAATCGCAAAAAAAATAATTCAAAACACGCAAACAGAATCAAAACTACAGGATTATGTATGGAATGCTTGAATTTTAAACTGGGAAAGACGAAGGGAAGGATTATATAACCAAAGATAATCTTTTGGGCTTGAATGAACTCTTTTCCACCCTACAAAAGAATAGTCAAACCGTCCTACAAAAGTTCCCAAACTCATTCAAAATCAAATTCAAACGTAATACTAAATTATGGATAATTTTGAAAACAAATTTAAGCAATAATATCCTAGTAAAGTTTTTCATCTTAAAAAAAATAAGAAAACAGATATACCTGGGAACTAATTTTGGACGTGCAACTCCTCCTTTGAGATAGCATTTGTAATGAATTTCGCTTCAATTATCATCTGTGTGAATTGTGATGGACTGACTCTGAAACGCGGAATCACCGACGATGTCCTAAACCTTAGGAGCCGGTCGCTGGGGCTTGCCGCCGTCTTGTTCTTCATCCACCGGTCTCTGGACGATCCCGGGCTCGACGATGCAGTCTTACTTCCGCGCTTGTCTGATCAGAGCCGCTGAGATTGACAGAAGAAGGAGAAGCTGGACTTGACGGAAAGGGTACGCAGGAAGCTTCATCAGAGATATGTGGTCCTTATCTATGTTGCTACTGTAGCTTTAGATATGTACTCAGGAAGCCTTGGATATGTGGTCCAAATCCATCTTGTTACATTTTGAAAGATAGTTTTAAAATACTCACGAGTGACTGAGTATTCCTTCTGTTCCTCTATTACCTTTTCGTTTTGATTTTTAAGTCATGGGTGGGGTGTATTAAATAAGGTGAAAAAGGTGTAATAAATAAAGTAAGTGGGAGTAGTTGTAGTATTTTAAATGTTTAAAAAGGTAATGAGAACATCTATGTGAGACAAATAAAAAGGACTAATGGAAGGATCTATAGGGGACAGAGAGAGTTATATTTTGATAATATATACTCAAGAGAAACAGAGACTGTTTCAGTACTTAACTTTATTAAAATCAGATCATATTAAAAATAATTTTAAATATAATTATGATTAAATCAGATCTTAATCAAATCGGAAGTAATAAATTGAAGAGAAAAACTCTAATTCCAAGCGTGACTTTAGGATTTAGGCGTGCATTGAGACATTGAGTACGTCTACTTATATAATCATAATCTTCAAATAGTTGTGTTTTAAGTTTATGTATGCATAAATGATTATGTGATTAAGAATATACTCCCTCTGTCCACAAATAAACTTTACGTTCACTATTCACATGGTCAAATTTTATTCATTTTGTTGGCCTATTTTCGTCACCCATTTGATAAAATAATATAGTCATGTCACCTCTAGTTTTGTAGATCTTTTGATATAATTTTTTAATATGTAATTTTTATTTTTTAATTCTACGCCATTTTTCATATAAAATGATTTGAAAATAACTTCAGTCAAACATCGTAACGCGTAATGTAAAGTTTAATTTTGGACGGAGGGAGTATGAATTTGCAAACAAGTTTACTTAGTACGGAGTAATATGTAAATTGTTGTTGTTAATCTATTGGTACTTGGTAGTGTGACCCATACCAATGTTCTTGGACATCAATTAAAACTTGACTTTTATGCCCTTACGGAGTAATAGATTAGGGGAACATATATTGAGGCACAGTTTGGTACACGAAATTCAAACCATGTAATTGGAATTGAAGACTTGAATTTCAAATGGTAGCACAAAACTTATGTGGATTTGGAATTGGTAATGCAAAAAATGAATTGAAATTGATAAATTCAATTCTATGAAATTGAATTTCATGATATTTTAATTCCAATTCAATTGTAATTTCATCAATTCCGTGTACCAAACGAACCTGATAGTTTGAACTTTTGAATTGGAAAGCCATAAAAGGTTAAAAAAATAGATATGGGTGAACACTGTAGCATGAAAGGTTAAAAAAATAATCACAGAATAAAAATTGTAGGAATTAAATAAGAAATATTTATACTAAATAACACTAAAACATAAGTCATTTCCTTAAATAGAACTTAAATTATTTTATTCTCTAAATAGCAGTTAATAATGTCCATAATGTCCAGTGATAGTGAATATTTACTTGAACAATGACTAATGGATAATGACTAAAAGTGCTACATTCGGAAAAAAACGTGTGTGATGCTACTTAAAAAAATCATTATTTCTAGTACTCTTTAAGTAAATTCCCCAAAAAATAAATGAGTGAAATGGGAATAAAGGTTAGGCAGGTCATAAATATGGAACCCCATACGTAATAAAGGTTAGGCAGGTCATAAAATAAATGAGTGGAACCCCATACATAGCATTTACACAAACTAAGAAAAGCCCCTTTTCGAGTCACCTTTTCACTGGTCTTCCTTTTTTTGTAAAAGAGGGCTCATTCTTTTCTTTTTTTTTGTAAAAGAGAGGGAATAAAGGTTAGGCACGTCATAAATATGGCAAGTGAGGCAGCTCTTAGAGCATTGAAAATACGTTTGAAGCCCCGAGGCTTCAAACATTCTCTCTCTGCCACGTCAGCTTTAACTTAACTCACAATTTTATTGGAAATGGGTTTGAAGCCCCGGGGCTTCAAACCTTCATTTTTTACATTTTTAATACACATCTTCTAAAATTAAATTCATTAAATTTAATTATTTAAAAGAATTGAAACGAGAATAGTTCATTAAAAAAATTGTATTCATTATAAAAAATTACATTCATTAAATAAAAAAATTACTTTCATTAAATAAAAAAATTACATTCATTATAAAAAATTACATTCTGCCTCCCCTTCCTGGTGGGAGGCCCTCGTCCTCGCTAGCTCCTGCCGGTTAGACCGGGAGCGCCGGGTGCGGGCAGGCTCGGCCTCCCGCACCTCGCCTAACCGGGCGAATGCGCTGACATGGGCAACGCTCTGCCCCAGTCTCTGCTTGGCTGACTTCCTCTGGCCTTCCTCCCTATCCCCCAGCCTTTCGAAGGCGGAGTTTCGGGAGGTCGCTGGCCGGATGTTTTTTCCTTTCTTCTTCTTGTGGGCCCTCGGGATGTCCCACTCGCCGTCATCGCTCTCAATTGAGACGCAATGACCATCAGGAGTGATCTGCGATCCGTAGCTTGCGGGGGACGCGACGGCCCTGCAGCGTTAAGTGCACCGGCCAAGTTGACAGGGGCCATGGTGCTGACCAGCTGGGGCTGGAAAGGTGATGGTTGCGGCATCGGCGTCTGGAACGACGTCACCGCCATCGGAGCTTGTAGGGGCATGGTCCCCGTGCCTGGAAGGGCGAATGGGAACATACCAGGGAGGAAAGGCATCCCCCCGTTCTGTTGGCACATGGCCATGACCTGGCCAAAGCCCTGGATGGCTTGTAGGTTGGCTGGGTCATTCATGAACTGAGTCATGCTTGGTGGGAACGTTACCCTCGGTCCAGCGGAAGGGACGGGGGTCACGAAGGGACTGATCACGCAGGCCGTCGGGACAGAGCTCAGACCCAGAGGCAACACCGGGGCTGAAATGACCGGTATGGTAGCAGCCACAGGGATGCTGGCTCCCTCGTTGGTGGCCTGCACCTGAGCGGAAGTAGCGTTGATTTGTTGGCTGGAAGACATTTCGAGTGGTGTTTTGGTGGGTAGGTTTGTGTTTAGAAGAAGAAACCTTAACGGTCCCACGGGTGGCGCCAAAAATGATGGTGTAAATTACTTGGCCGGTCAAACTATACTAGACCGGGTCTAGAATAGTTCGCTTGATTTGACAAAGTAAGAAAGGTAAAAACACGCAAATTGACCGGTAGGACTTTAGGTGGAACACCTGTAGCCCGATTTATATTATAACTGAGAATGCACGGGTGCTTTTACAAGGGAGTTTAGAGAGAGTGAATTCGGATCCCTCTTTCTGAGATTTACATGAGTATTTATACTAGGCTAAGGGGACAGGACCACGTGCGCCCACGTGGGGGCATGCTGCCGATGTGGTGCGAGGTGACTGGTTTCGTCCTCAAGCTGCCTTGTCGCCTTGTGAAGGGGATCATTCCCTTTGTCAAGTAGTGCCTTGGATGGATTCTTTAGCATTTCCAGTTGTCCTCTACTGACACGGGTCGCTACACGCCAAACCCTCGCAGATCCTCTCCTGCCGACACTTTCCAACCCCAGAAACTACACCGGGTAATCTCTGAGGGATGAATTTATCGAAGTCTGGAACAAATAGGATGACAACGTAGTTTGACCGGTATACTTTTTGTGAAGTGTACCGGTCAAATTTTGGCTGATGACATCGTTTTGCTGACGATTTAAGTCTCCCTTTCAAGACTCTCAAGATTGACCGGTCAACTATTTGGTCTTCTTCTTTGACCGGTCGTGGGTGGAATACACCCATCACATTCATTAAATAAAAAATTAAATTCATTAAATAAAAAATTACATTCATGAAAACATAAAAAAATAGTTGAATAATAATTTTTTTAAAAAAGATGATAGAGAAATTTGTATTTGTGTTGAATTTTAAAAAAATTAATTTAATTTATAAAGAAGAAAAAAGGAAAAAAGAAGGAGAAAAAAGAAGAAAGAGGCGTTATCACGCCTTTAAATTGCGTTAAAACTATGACGCGGGAGTTATAACGCCCGGATAACGGAGGAGGGGGGCGGTGTTTTATGCCCCCCAGGCGTCAAAGTGAAGATAACGCCTATGGGCGTGATGGGTATACCGAGTGCCCTTACGTGCTTTCTCTGTCCCATTTTAAATTGTCTGTTTGCTTTTTTTTGTTCCAAAATAAGTTGTCGGTTACTTATTATCGTTAACTTTTAAGAGTAAAATGCTTATACTACCACTAAAATAAGTCACTCTTCTCCACATTATCTTCTCATTCATCGTTATTCCTCCTAAAAAGTAATGACAATTTTGAAAAATCAACTCTATTTTTTTCTTTAAATATGCTCAAAAGTCAAAACAAGCAATTTAAAATGAGACGAAATGAGTATTTTGTTTGGAAATATGCTAGTGGCGTACGAATTTGGGTGTAAAAGATTAGAGAAAAGGACTAGTTTGAGTTCTTGTTTTCATCTTTTTTCTTTTCTTTTCATGAGCAAAAGAAAACAATTAAATTATGAAAAAATTATTCAGAATAATTCTAATTTTATCTGATCTTTTAAAAGTAAACTCATCTTTTACTGTGATGCATAATAATTACAATTTTAATGAAATTTGCGAAATTTAGATCACCATTAAGTTGCTAACGAAAGGTCTATTTTGCGGAAAAAAGAATAAAAGATGAAATTATTTTTGATGAATTTTTGCTTTTGTTTTTTTGAAATTTTTATTTAAATTTCTAATATCACTTTCTACACCTTTCTTTCTCTCCTTTCTTTTTCCACTCTTTTCTTTTATTTTTTGTTTTTTTCTTTCTTTTCTATTTTCTGATTCACTTTTTTTCCACTCTTTTCTTTTGCTTCTTTTTTTCTTTTGATCCTTTTTAAATCTTTATTTATTTTTTTATTCATTCTCACTTTTTATAATTTCTTTCCTTTTCCTTTAAATTTTTATCATTCTATCCTTGTTTTTTATTTTTCCTTTTTAAATTTTTTTTCACTCTTCTAATTTTCTCTATTTGTTTCTGTTTGCTATTTTTCTTTAGCTCTTTTTTATAATATTTATTTATTATTTATTCCTTTTCCGCCTTTTATCATTTTTTTTACTTTTTTTTATTTTTTCCTTTATTTATTTCATTCATTGTTTTTTCCTTTATCTTTTATCTTTTCTGTTAATAATTGTGTTATTTTATATTTGATCAATTTAATTAAACAAAAATAAATAAATTATACGTCTTAATTTTTTTTTGTTTGTTTAATTTGAATTTTTTGTTTGTTAACTTTTTTGTCTAATTTTAATCTTTATTGTAAACAATTAAACAAAACAAGTGAATAAAATAAGCACTAAATAAATACATAAAACTGCAAAAAAACCAAAAAAATAAGACAACAGAAAATTAAAAAAAAAACAAACAAAAAATAAGACATATAGTACCATGAACAAATAAAAAATAAGACATTCTAAAGAAAAAATTCACGTTTGTTTCTATTTGTTACTTTTTTCTTTAGTTCCTTTTTGAAATCTTTATTTATTATTTATTCCTTATTTGCCTTTTCTCATTTCTTACTTTTTTATTTTTTTGTTTTATTTTTTTTCTTTCTTTCTTCCTTTATTTATCTATTTCGTTATTTTCTCCTTTATATCTTATCTATTTCGTTATTTATCTGTTTTATTTTTTTGTTATTTTATATTTAACCAATTTAATTAAATAAAAAGATCTAACTATTATCTTTTGATCTTAATAACATTGTTATTTTATATTATCTTTTAAACAAAAAGATCAAACTATTATCTTTTCTCTTAATAACATTGTTATTTTATATTTAATCAATTTATTATCTTTTGGTCTTATAGTGTCATTTTTTTCCATATTTTTTTGATCTTATTTGTTTGTTTTTTGTTTTTTACAAAAATATAACAAAAAATGGTACTATATATCTTTTTTTTTTTTTTTAAATTTTCTTTTGTCTTATTATTTTCATTTTTTAGTTATTTATTTAGGGCTTATTTTATTCACTTGTTTTGTGTAATTGTTTACAATAAAGATTTAAAACATAAAAAGATTAAAAAAATAAAAAAATAAAAACAAAAAAAAATTAGACATTTGTTAACAAAAAGATAGAAAAGCTAACAAAAAATTAGTAAAAAAATCGTAAACAAACAAAAAAAATAGTATTAAAACATCAAGAATAAAAGGAAAAAAACAAACAGAAAAATTTACAAATAAAAAAGACCGAAAACAAAAACAAACTTAGAATACATGTATCAAAAAAATGAAAAAAATTAAAAAAAAATGTTGTTCAACGTAAAATTCGAAAACAAAAAAAATACTTGAAGAGGAAGTTAAAATTAAACAAAAAAAAGAGGGGACTCAAGAAGGGGGGTGGGGTGGATTGTTGTGAGTGGAGGGTTTAATGAAGAAGGAAAAATGGGTGAAAAAAGGAAGAAGAAGAAAAGAAGGGGTGAAAGAAGGAAGAAGAAGAAAAAGTGGGGTGAAAGAAGAAGAAAAAGAAGGGAGTGGGATGAGGGAGAAGAAGAAAAAAGAAATGAGATCAAATTGAAGATTTTAAAATATATTCTGTAGTATAAAATTGTAACTAGGCCCAAATGACTTGATGATTATCTAAAAACCAGTTCCAGATACCATTCGTAAAAGATTTTTAAAGTTCAGGTATTTTTGTGATAGAAAATGAAGTCTGGGTACCAAAACAAAAAATAGCTATAGAAAACCTTTTTTGGAAAACCTTTTCAAAATAAATTATATTTTGGAAAACCTTTTTTTGTCAACAAAATAGACCATTACAAGCAACCATTACTATAGAATCAAACAAAGCATAGGAGTTGGGGATTCAACTACTCGTCTACTCCCTCCGTCCCCCTGTATTTGTCTACATTTGACTTTTGGAACTGTTCATCTAAGCACTTTGACTCATCAAATTCTTTCAATGTGTAAGCCTAAATATAGTCATGTGTGATCTTGTTTGATTTGTCTTAACATATAGATTATTAATATATAATTTTTATAATTTTTTAATATACAAACTACAAGATAAAATGGATTAAAGAAGTGTATTGGATGATGTACAAAAATGAAAGTGGACAAATACAGGAGAACGGAGGGAAAAAAAAAATATAATCGGAGTCAGGCAAGAAGAGAAGGGGATGGGGGATTAACTATGAATAGCACAGAGTCAAGGCAAGAGTGAAGTGGATGGGGGATTATTCAAAATGAAAAGCAAAAGGAAAAACGAAAACGTGCAAAAACTAAGGAGTGTATTCAATCTGGACTTTGTAGTATTTTATTGGATTTCAAAAGTCTATGGATATTCAATCCAAATTTTAAAAAATAATTTAAAATCTGGGTGTATTCAATTCAGATTTTAAAAAATCATTTAAAATCTAGGTGTATTCAATTCAGATTTTAAAATATTCTTCTAACTTTAATTGTATTCAAAAATCAATTAATTTTAAAAGATTCTTATAAAATATGGATTTTGATGGATTTTGGGCTTTGGGTATAAATTAAAATCTAAGTCCAAAATCTGACAAAAAAGGTAGAGATTTTGCAACTCCACGCAAAATATGTGTCTTCTTCAACCTCGAAGAAATCGTGTCTTCTACTCTTCTTCAACCTTCAACCAATAGAAAGAAGAACAAAAAATTGTTAGAAGGGCAAAAAAAATGGAGAAATCATCACGGTGCCACACCATCAGGCCTTTGCTCAACTTCGTCGAAATGCTCGCCGGCGACTTTGTTAGAATAAGTGCCCTTCACTAGAGGGGGGGTGAATAGCGAGGCACGAGAATGTTTATAAATTTTTGCGGAATAAAAATCGCAGGGATAAAGTAAAGAGCGGAATAAAAAAGCGTAAGGAAAGAACATACCAAATTTACCCTGGTTCACCACAACGTGTGGCTAGTCCAGCCTCCCGAGAGACTCTCTCGAGCTACACTACTTCCGTTAAGCTTACGGGTGCTTAACAAACCGTTACAACCTGAGAACTCGAGTCCCACGAGCCTCAACAACACTTGGTTGGAGATACCGCACTCTAAGACTTCAACCCGAAAAAAAATACCTTTCCTTCGTACAACCAAGGGAACAAACCTCCCTTAAATGGTTCACAACACTTAACCACTCAAGAAAAAAACTCTCTTAAAGAGTAGAATATGAGTAAACTAATTTAGATCAAGAACACACTCAATTCCTCAAGAAATGGCTCTTAAAAGCTATGTAAAAAGTTTATGGAATGATGCAATGTAAAACTATGAAATGTGTAAGGAATGGTTGTGAAAAGTAGACCCAAAAGACCCTTATTTATACCCAAAAATGATGTGTAACGGATGGGAGTTGATTTGGGTTTAATGGCATGATTTTTGGAAATTAAATAAAAGTGGATCTACAGGAAATTAGCCTACCCAGCGATGTATGGAACTACCCATCGCTGGTAAGCCATTTTTCCTTCAGTTTTAAAGACAACGGTCACCTACCCATGGATGGGTAAGAACTTCTCATCGCTGGGTGGGAGGTTGACTTTCAAACAAGGAAAGAATCAGCATTAAATGCCTTACAACGGTCATGCCTTCCCATGGATGGGTAATATCCTCCCATGGCTGGGAAGGCACCTACCCATGGATGGGTAATATCTCCCATCGCTGGGTGGCATGGTTCTGGAATCCCGGATCACTTACCCATGGATGCGTAATATCTCCCATCGTTGGGTGGCATGGTTCTGGAATCCCAGGATCACTTACCCATGGATGGGTGATATCTACCATCGCTGGGTAGATGGCTAGTCCAAAACCATGGCCTAGCCGACCGGCGCTGAAACCCAACTGAAAATGCAAAGTTCTCCAAAGTAAAAACTAAGTGTTTAAAACACTTATTTAATATATTTTATGTAGAAACCAAGTATAAAAACTTAAAAACCACTTCATTAAGGTAAAAACCACGGCTAGCCAAGTTTATGCCATTTCGCATGATTTTTGCCAAACGACCAAAAACGAGAGGTGGTTTTTGAAGTGTTTTTATTGGAGAACCATTTGGATATGTCCAGAAGTAAAAAAAATCATAAAATATTAAAAACCACTTGATTGATTTGGACGCCAAAAACCAACGCCGATAACCAGCACCGAATGCCGATAACCAACGCCGAAAAAACAAAGGTTACGGTTTTTGAAAACTAATGATTGGGAAAACCTTTAAATGTGTCCAGAAGCATAAAACAAAGATAAAAACCCAAAAACCATTTGGCTAAAATCAATGCCAATAACCAATGCCGAAAACCGAACACCATAGCTGAATGCCGATAATCGATGGTTATGGTTTTGGTTAAGCAAGAACCATGGGTTTTAGAAACTTAAAAACCATTTATGAAAACACTCATTTGATGCATGAAAAACATATTTTGTTTTGAGTCATGACGTAGAGAAATTGAATGAGCTTGTTACAATAAAAACCTAAGTCTTTAGAAAACATCTTCAAAGCGCCAATGTCGCCATCTTTAGCAACATCAATGCCTTTCTTTTGCTTTTTGTTTCTTCAAAGAACTTTTTCTATCTCTTTGAATCTTTTCATTTTGTTCCATGTTTCTGACGGTTTGTCAATATCAAAACCTAAACGGAAACAAACATTGTCATTAGCAAAATGTCAAAGTGAAAATGTTTTCTAACAGACTTCCCTGGCATCAGTTTCTCGTCCGCCACGATATGTGGGACGGGGCGGCATTGCTGCCAGGACGGGAAACTGCCATGAGATTTGTGGCGACAATGCCGGCCAACTACGAGAGAGCAGTTGAGGAAGCGATGGTGGTGGCGGCTCGGCAGGAAAGAAAGGAGACTGAAGAAGAGAGATAACTAGGGTTACTGGGGAGGAAAGAAGGAAGAAAAGAAAAAAGAAAAAAGAAAAAAGAAAAAAGAAAAAAGAAAAAAGAAAAAAGAAAAAAGAAAAAAAAGGAAAAAAGGAAAACATGGAACCATGGATTATAAACAATTTTCCATAATCTTATAAAATCCTGTTGATAAAATACATTAAAATCTATCTAACTCTACGAAAACTTAAAATAATCCATTGAGTTTATAGAATCCATGGATTTTAAACAATCTATGAAAATCTTTTAAAATTTAGATTGAATACACCCCCCTAAAACTTGTCCGAGTGTCTCCACGGTAGCCGCCCTTCTTTTTAGTCTTTGGCTAGACCTTACCTATCCAAGATAGTATGGTGCATCCATAACATGTTCTTCAACCATGCACCTATAATCACCACTATTACAAGAATATTAACTCTATTTTAAGGCAAATCATAGAGTTTAGTTTTCCAAATGTACATACGAAGCTCAAGCAACTCAAATAAGCTCTCAAGAAAGTGATGAAGTTTCTGAGAATCTATAGGTTGCTGTGTGGGTAACTGCTTTCAAAGCACAAATAACAAAATAGCTTATCCAACACCCAAAAGACTATTTGGAAAAAACTTACATTACGCTTGGTTGATAGATTTTGAAAGAAAAGAAAAGAAAATGAGATGAAAAATAGTTTTTCTTCTTTAGTTAGAGAGAAAAACGAAAAAAATGAAATGAAAAGAAAATGAGAAAGCAAAATGTACTAAGAGAAAAAACAAATTTCCTCCTATTTTGGTGAGGAAAATGGGAAAAAACTATTTCTTTTCCTTCCAATTTTCTTGAACCAAACATAATGTTAAGTAAATAGAGTTTGTAAGACAATTGCAACCTACTACCTGTTCAGACTTGAGAATTAGCTATGGGTTAGTAGTTTCTCTGAAAAAATTTTGTAATCAAAAGTGTTGGTCAGAGAAGTTGAGAAAAAGTACTCATGAAGCTATGGAAACATTAATTTTGAAAAGATTTGAACGTTTGGATTTCCAAAATCATTCTTTAAAGACTCTGTCGTTAAAGTGTGGGGTAGGATGAACCACTTTTAAAAGTCATAATAAAGAAAAAGTGAAACCATTTCTATCAATTACCCTACACTTAGACTAACCCATATTTTAAAACAACCTTTTAAAAAAAAGAACGTGGCTGGCTGAAAATCATTTTAGAAATCATGGTTATAAGAAACATAATCGGAACTAAGCATTTCAAGATTCAGAACAACAATTCAAAAGTCAACATTTAAGAATTAAGTATTTCAACTTTAGCACTTCAAGAAAAACAATCAGCAATTCAAAATTCAGTATTTTAGAGTCAGCATTTCACAAATCAAATCAGCCTTTCATGGAATCAGCACATCTGAATTTCAGTATTTCAAACCAACAATTGAACATTTCAAGTTGAAAATCAGCATTTTAACAACCAACATACAATAAATTAGCATTTTAAACATTAAAAAGTTAGCACTTCCATTACTTGAACAAACATAACAGTCATTTCAGATTTAGCTATATGATTCCAAGTTGCTGAAATTTCCCACATGATCTCAAGTATCCTATTTCCTTGAATATATCAACTAAAAACAAAGCAACAACATTTTCTACGTGTAAAAATTTGGATTGATACCAAATCAAAAACTCATTGGAATGTACTCAAGTAAACAGCAATCAGAACACCTACATAAATGAACATAAGTTTGCAGAAAACCATTAATAAACTTTGCAGGTGTATAAATTTATTAAGCACATTGATCCACCTTACAATAGTAGCTAATGGTTTAAACAAATCAGAAGAAAGGATTAGCCATTGTACCTGAGATTATGTATTAATAGCACTAAATGTGCCACAATTAAGATTTCTCCAGACCTGCCTCTATTGCTAAGAACAGCTTCATACACCTCTAAGTGCAAATTATCCTTTGCTTTTTTGTGAATATTTCTTCTCCTAAACTAAAAGTATAGCAAAGAATAAACTAATTAATATACCTTAAACTCACCCCCTTATTTATATATCAATTGATGCCTAAGTAGCTAAGGCAACTAAGGGTTGATCCCACGAGAAAAGAGAATTTGAAACAGTTTGTATTTGCTACTTTATTAAAATAGACTAATACTAAAGTATTAAATACTTAAAAAATAATTGGAAACACAACTATTACTAAAGACACTTATACTATAAACTTATATGATAAAGAAACATAGATTTAGGGGGGTTGAGATGAGAACATTAGGAACATGCTAGAATAAGTAAAAAAGAAGATATATGACACAGAATAACTACACTAAATAACAATCTGACCAAGGAAAAAGAAGAAAAGAAAGATAAGAGGGCTTGAAACAAATGTAAACCAAGCCTTGGTATAATCCTTGGAAAAATATGTGACATTCTAATGAATCATTAACACAAATAAATTCTGAAATAGTTTTCATGACAGGTCTGTAAGAAACTAACTGATTTATCCTACCTTCTCCTATGAGTTTATTAGTCTTCACTAAGCACCAACACCGAGACTGGACACTATTATTACCCCTAGTAGTTTAAGACCAGCCCCGAACAACTAATCATAATAATGCATTTAGCTTCATTTAGGCATCAATCAGAATTATAACCAATAGTCCACCTGCAGTGTCAAGATTGCAACTGTTTGCTAACCTGAGGTCTGCAATTATTCTAGCTAATGAAACTTGTCATATGATTTCCTAGCTAGAATGACCAATAGAGACTTAGACTAAACAGAAGGACGCGTCCACCCAAATATTCAAAGCCTAGCTTCATAAAACATGTCCATAATAAAATAACACACTCAAATAATTCAGCATAATTAAAAGTCCAAAATCAAGGTTCCAAACAATCACAATATGTCATTCCAATGTGACCAAGTTGAGATCTACTAACAATACACAAACTACATTTTTAAACGTAGAGCGGTAGAGGTTTCAAAACATATCATATTTATCAACCTTAGCAATTATGAGAACATATTGCTGATATTGGAACCAAAACGGTAATCAGAAACAAAATCAATCCTTTATTAAAATCAAAAGCTTAATTTGAATCGGTCCAAATGTTAAACATACACAGAAATGAACTGAAATTGAATGCTACACAATGGAAATAATGAAATTACCCAGCAAATACTTAACGATCGAAGAAGAAGAAACTGATAAAACCAGTATGGATTGAAGAGTATACCCTAGAAGACCCATTGAGGCTGGACTTTTTGGATTTTGTGAACCCTTCTGATCGGTAATGGTTTCCTCGCCCGCTATCGCCGGATCCTTGTCGGAGTTCTTCAGTCCGTCGCCGTTCTCCGTCCTACGTCTCTCCTTACTGCTGTTATCCGTCCACAAATTCCTTTTTTGGTAACTTCTTTTTGTTAAAAAAACATATCTACCCTCACTTTCTTTTACTTTTCCTCTCCTTTTTCCTTCTTTTTTCTTCTCTAGTTTCTTCTCCTTTCTCTTTTTTTGATTGTTCTTATTCCTTTCTTTCTTCTCTTCTTTCTTCTTCCCGCCTCCCGATTTTTTCTTTATTTTCTTTTTTATTCTTCTTCTTTCTTCTTCCCCTCCTCCGGATTTTTCCTTTCTTTTCTTTTTCATTCTTCTTCCCCTCCTCCCGATTTTTCCTTTCTTTTCTTTTTCATTTCTTCTTTTCATCTTCTTCTCCCTCCCCTTCCCATTTTTCTTCTTTTTTTGTCCCCCAATCCAGATCTGAGAAATCCGATTCAGATCTGTGAAAGAGGTCAATGGCGATGAAAAAATCTATCGTGGTGGTGGAGTACATTGATGATGGTGTGTTGGATTCGAAAGAAGGAGCCCAAGACTTCTTCCTTCTTCGTCTTTTTTTTTTGAAATTGAAGGAGCCGAAGGCGATGACGGTTTAGCAGCGAGGCAGCGATCAGATTTGACAAGGTAAAGCAGCCATCGGAGCTAGTGGCGGAGCAGGGAGAGGTCCTGTCGCCAATCCCATTGCAAAGAGAAGATGGATGGATAGGAAAAGAAGAAAGAGGTGGAGGGGCATTTTAGGGAAGTCAAAGCAAATTTCAATTTTTATTAAACTCCGTGCCAAATCAAAGTGAGAACATTAATTTTGGACGGAGGGAGTAGAACATTCTCAACAACATAAATCTATTAAAATTATTTTTATTCTTGATCATGAAATTTTGGATCGAGATTGTTTCTTATCTATTTTCGTACAACTTGAAATAAATACAGAATTTAACTTTTAAAATGTCACAAAATCATTTATTTTTGAAAAATTGATGTATATTTGAATAAAGAAACAAAAATGTTACTTAAAAAAATAAAGTGAATGGATGATAATAAAATGATATGTCAAATGCGTTAATATTTCTATATTCATATTAAAAAAGTGAAACTAAATAAAAATGTACACATATTTAATGAAAAAAATATAAAAAGATTATTATATGTGTTTTTAATATATTAGTGTATATATATATATATATATATATATATATATATATATATATATATATATATATTCAATTTGAGATTTTCGGGTATGAGAATTTGCCTAATATTGTTCCAAAATACCAAACTTTATTTGGTATTTTTCGATTCGATATTATCGCAAATTTTCGATATCAGTTCGATACTTTCTCACCATAATCTAAGAATTGTTGTTAAAGCAGAGTAATAATTTTTATTTATCTTTTTAATTTTTATTCATTCCAAAATAATTCTCGTATAAAAAATAAAATTGTTGGTTTAGTATTTTTATGGCATGAAAATTTTTATTTTTTATAAATAAATTACAATCATTTAATCATAAACTTTTAATCATTATTAAGTTCTATATTAAAAGTATTTTAAAAAAGAGCAAATTCTCTATATTGTTTGAGGACGACAAGGTGGGCTCTAGGTAGAATAAGGGATGGGCACACAGCTCTCGGAAGCCAGAGCCCAACCTAAGTTACATGTCCATATAAGCCCATGTCATTGTAAGTTTGAGCCCATTTAATTTTTTGTTGTATATGTCATTATTAGTTTGAGCCCATTTAATTTTTCATTTGTTGTTAGGTCAGTTAGTTCATTTATCCTCACTCCCACAAATATTTGGTGGATTATTAATTTGTATTTTTGTTCGAATCATTTTTTGGTTAAGTATTTATTATTTATTCAGTAGTTTTTTTTTTTACGTATTTCCAAATTCAAAATTCACTTTCTAGCTCTTAATGACCTATAGCTGTGTATAAATATTCATATGTATGTTTATATAAAAAATAATCACGTTTTTTAAAGTACTTTAAAACATAATAATATATTATCACATAGAATAAGTATGCCTATAATTATAAATAATAAGAGGTTTATTTAAAAATACAAAGCATTATAGTTAGATGCAGATTGTTTTTTAAAAAAAATATTAGAACACAACATGTATTAAGAAATAAATATATATTATATACAACTTACAAATACCAAACATTTGATTTATCCTAGGAGCCCGGTTCCATGGCCACTGGATTCCAGTGGCCACGGAAGCCACTACCCCCTACGGAACTCCGTTCATAAAATTGATGGTTATAACTTTGAATTTGAAGGTCAGAGGTCTTGGGTTCGGATACCTTTGCCTCGATCTTACATTTTTATTTTCAGGTTTGAACACATTCATATCCGCCTGGATTCAGGTACTTTACCAGTTTTGGATATTTAATTAGATTCAGATATATCCGGAATCGAAAATTATCAGTCGGTTACCGATTCAAATATATAAATGTAAATATCCGCCGGATACGGATTAAGATATTCCAAAACTTAATCGGATTTGATCTTACATTTTTATTTTTGGGTTTGAACACATTCATATTCGGTCGGATTCGAGTACCTGGGCAGTTTCAGATATTTAATCGGATTCATTTATATCTGGAATAGAAAATTATCCGTCGGTTACCGATTCAAATATAGAAATGTAAATATCCATCGGATACGGATTAAGATATTCCAAAACATAATCGGATCTGATCTTACATTTTTATTTTCGGATTTGAACACATTCATATTCAGTCGGATTCGAGTACCTCACTAGTTTCGGATATTTAATCGGATTCAGATATATCTAGAATAAAAAATTATCCATCAGTTACCGATTCAAATATAGAAATGCAAATATCCGTCAGATACGGATTAAGATATTCCAAAACTTAATCAGATCTGATCTTACATTTTTATTTTCGGGTTTGAACACATTCATATTCGGTCGGATTCGAGTACTTGACCAGTGTCGGATATCTAATCAGATTCGGATATATCCGAAATCGTTCGTTGGTCTAGTTTGTGTTTTTGCGGTCAATTAGACCGTACCATGTTTTAACCTAAAATTAGATAGTTTTGTAAGATATAAATTAATTATTAAAAAAAAATAATTCAAAACTTTTTTTAAAATAAATATAATAAATTTATTTTTGAATTAAAATTTAATACTAAGTAAATTTTTTATTTAATTAACGATCAAAGTTTATTAATCATAACTGTATAAAATTAAAACCGGAAAAGCTTTACGTGAGGAAGATAATAAATAATTTAAGAAAAATTTGTTCCATACAGGACTAAAGGTAGTACGTTTCCCTGAATAGGTCCAAATATATTTTATTCCCCTTATGACGACACATAATTCCATATGATCTAACGAAAATGCTCTTATTAGTAACAGGTATTGGATAATGACTAGTTATACGATTGACTATATGAATATGGTCGTTAGCTTTAAGTGTTTGATAATTCCTGATTATATAAATGACTATTCAAATAATTTTTAATAATGTCTTATTATACTTCAATTGTGTAATTGACATTTTTCTTAAAAGTAGGGCATTTTAGAACTTCCTGTTGCCAAACATTAGAATAGATAGGGCTGGTCATATTTAGGGAAAAGTGGTATGTTTAAGTCTCATTTACTTAAATTATCCATATTTAATTAATTACGTCATAGGATTTAATTAATTATAAGTACTTTTTTGAATTTTCTATTGTTCTTTCTCAAAAAAAAAAGAGTTGAATTGGGTAGAAAGACCAAAATAAGACTAAAACATTGAAAATATATCAAAATAGAACTTCCATGTTTTTATTCCCATTATATATGCCTTAAAATGCATTTAGATTATCAAACATGGTCATATATACATTACCAAAAAGTATAAGTTTGTGCACATGTACAGTGCCACATTACCACCACATTACCACAGTGTGAAGTTTATTTCGAGAAAAAAATGAAAGTTCTATTTTGATACTTTTTTCTATGTTTTAGTCTTATTTAGGGTGATTTCTATAAAAATTGGAGAAAACAAAATGATATGAATAAATTATTGAGTAAATTACATAAATGGTCTCTACTAATACATGGTTTTCATATTTAGTTCTACTTATAAAATATTACGAGCGTAATCCCCTTTTCTTTGGTACCTTTTCACGATCAATCCTTCGTCACTCATGTTATTATCTTACTGTTAAATACAACATTAAAAAAGTAATTTTTCACCTCCACATCTCAATTAAACATCTCACCAGCCCTCCTCATACCTGTCTTTGTTTGCATGGTTAGGGTGCATCATTCAGAATTTCAGATTGTCATGTGCAGCGAAGACAATAACTAATTAACTTTATCAGGCTCTGTAATTTTGCGATGAAGACAAAGGTTGGGATTATGGTTTTGAGGGATAGATGAGGACGAGGAGGGATAATTCAATTGAGAGATGGGTGTGAGAAGTTATCGCTTCAATCCTATATTGAACATGTAATAAATGACAATAGGAGTGATAGAGGACTAAACATGGAAAAGAATCAAAGTAGGGACTACGATTGTAATATTTGATAAATAAAGACTAAATATCAAAAATTACTTATAACTATGGACCATTTATGAAATTTACTCTAAATTGTTGAAACAAAAGGTATAAAGTAAATGTATTCAATTTATATTTGTATTCAATTTACTTGTCAATGTATTAAATCGGTTTCTTGTCACATTTATATTGCTTATAACTATGGACCATCTATATTTGTTTCTTGTCAATGCATTAAATCAGTTATATAGGTACATATTTATATTTGTATTCAATTTACTTTCAGATACTTACTGGTAAATATTTGTATTCTTGCACTCTTATTTGTTTTTACGAAAATGAGTCATTGTTTTCGAAAACAATAATAATTCTCAACGTTTTATCAAATTCTCATTTCATTTTCTTTTAGGGAGTAAAAAATAATTGAAACAAAAGTCACTTTCACATCTCGATCTACTAGCTCCAGCCCCGCAAGGTTTCCAAGCATTTATTATTGACATTTTTGGAGTTTCAAAAAAGAAAAAAATTGCAAATATGTAAGATCCAAGCGTCATATATGCCATGCATTCAATCTAGTAGTGCCAATGCTCTTAATTGAGTTCTATTTTTGCGCAGCATTTTTGAGATATAGTACCAAAAGATTCCATTGTTTTTTATAGCATGTTGCTTGCTTGTCCAACTTATATTAATTACTATCATTAATTATCATTTTATATAAATATGCAAAAAAAAACACTCTTTTTCAATGCAGTTTGGGGATGGAGTGACAAATAAAATAATTTGCATATATGCATCATATCCCACCCCCCAATGACATTAGTATATAGTCAAATTTTTAGGCATTATATGGGTGGGATTGTTCTTAATTAATCATATCAATGGAAGTAAAAAAAAAGAAGTCCTAATATTTAAAGGCATTGCATCATCATCATCCACTCATATACAGATACATTATTCATACCATTTTTTTACTAGCTGAACATATATATCCATATAGATATTCCAAAGTAAGGGCGAAATTAGACAAAGCTAAATAGGGAGTATGTAGCATCGTTAGAAAGAATGATATACAAACATGAAAAATCCCGCTAGACTTGACAAATTTCATACTCCCTCCGTCCCGCAAAAAAGTTCCCCTTTCGTTTTTTTTTCGTCCCAAAAAAAAGTTCTCATTTGTTATTAAAAGTCAATTATACCCTTACAAACCCAAACTCTAACAAAACTAACCTAGCCCACCCCACCCATTAGAATCTTCTCTCTCCTCCTCTTCGCCTCTTCCAATTCCCAGACTCTCTCATCTTCTCCCTTCCTCTTCTCTCAGATCTAACCTTTATCTCTCTTCTCCTCCTCTCTGAATCGATGAAAAATCGCGACCCTACGATGCCCTCATTTCAATTACTGAGCGATAGTGACGAGGAAACATTGTTTCCTCGTCAAAGATCCCCTCCACCCACAATTTCAAAGAGGAAGGATGAGGAGACCTGGGGATCTGGCTTCGATGATGGTGGATCTGACTCCTCTGAGACGGATCCAACTTGGAGTTTCCGTAAAAAGCATTTAGGGGGGGTTATTACTCTGACCCTGAAAGGAGTTACGAATCAGAGGATGGAGAAGAAAACTCTGAATCTGTGACATCTGCACAGATTTTGGAGATGTCTGAGGATGAGCTCAATTTCTCAGAATGTACTTCAGACCCAGCTAAGCAAAATCGTTTCAAATCAAGTAAGATGTATCTACTTTGATTTGCTTGCATGCGGAAATTTTTAATTTTTTTGGCAAACTCATGATGCAAACTTGATAAATTCTGAAAAGAGTTCAGAATATATGTGGTTTTTGCTGTAATGTCACCACTTTCATGTAGGAGACTTACAGAAACCACATTTATGGTGGTATGGTCTTTGCTGTTTTTGGTCTACCCGTGTTTTAAAGTGTGAAAGGAAATGTATTTTCTGGTGATTTAAGTCGTGCTTTTTGATTCTTTGATTCTGTGGTTCTGTGGTTCTGTTATTCTGTGTTTCTCTTCTTCTAGTTAAGGACTGATACTACACCTCTTCTACTTAAGGACAGATACTCCACTTCTTTTTAACAAAAGACAGATAATACACTTCAGATACTACACTTCATACTAACAAAATTACAACCCAGCAAAAATCAAAAAGCAAAAAACAGGCAAGTGGTAGTACTTTGACATTTGTACCCTGATCAAACTGCCTGGTGACCTAAAGTTAGATGCTACACTGATTACATTTGTACATTGACTTGGGAGTACAAGAGAATATTGTAATTTTCCCATGCCATATTGTACATGCAAAAAAGAACTTCCAAAAAAGTTCACATTTGTTCCTCCAAAAAATGTTTTGCCTGTTCATAAACTTCTTGGGTGACCCCTACATTGTCTGGCAGCCTTCCTTCCCTAGCTAACATTGCTTTCCCAATGTGAGGTATTCTGAAATTGTTGCCACCTCTGTTCTTAAGAACCTCACCCATAACTCCTTGCAATGTTAGGAAAACATTATTCAACTTCTCATGTGGGATATCCTGGAATGCTGTGGTTACAGCATTTATCAATTCACTTAAGTTTCTAGGGGCTGATTGATCTTGAATACTGTCAATTGACCTAAAGAAACCCAGATCAAGTACATTTAAATATGGGCTATTGGGTGGCTGAAATTTCAGTTCAATGTTCCAATCTCCATCTTCTGCTGCTGCTAGAAACTCTGGATTATTTCCTTCCACATGTGGTTTGGCATTATCTTGCTGAATGATAACATGTTTAGTTGGTCCTGGCCATTTTTCCTTGATTGCTGGCAGATGTTTTTGAATCAAAATATTTTTCATGACCACCCTGTCTATAACTGGCACTGCCTTAACTTCAAGTGTTCCTGCTGGCCTATTTTTAGAAGCCCTTTTTGCTTCAGCAAGATAGGTGAAGGGGAAAATGCCAATTTTCCCATCCCACAGCAGACCCCCATCAGCCCCATACCTAGGCCTACCCACTGCTGCTAAAAACATTATTTTTGGTATGTGTGTTTTGGATTGAATTGTTCTGTGTGGGTCTTCTTCCTCTGGCAGTGCATAAAAGGTGGCCTTTTCCTTTGTGATATTGAACCATTTCTCATCAATATGAATATAATCATAAAAATTGTGAAATGTTGGGTCCAATGGAAGTGATGAGGGAGAAATATGGTCCAAACAAAAGCTAAGTCTTTTTAGCTTACCTGGGTGTGACAAATATGGCTTGATTGCATTGGAATGTCTCCTTATAGTCTTCCTTTTTAACCATCTCTGGAGAGTTGATTTGGATACTTCCATTGCATAGCCAAGGGCACGTATGTTCTTGCGCCTATGAAATGGAACTGCCAACATCTTTGGAATGTCAACAGGCACTTCTTTTCTGCCAGAGTTCCCTTTCCTTTTGCATTGAACACAATGTGGTAGACCATCCCGCATTTGACCACTAGCTGAAGACCATATTTTCCCTACTGTTTTTCTGGAAATGTTGAACTCTCCAGCCACTGCTTTAATGCAACCGTGCTGAAGTTTGCCGTGCTTATAAGACTGTAGTAACCTATCGACTATTCTTCGTCTTCTTTCGCTTTGTTTTTCTCGTGAATGTGCTGTGTTTTCCTCTGAATCTGTAGGGGTTTCAAGGTTGAGAATGGGGACTTGGAGAAGTGGAGGGTGGGGCTGGTTCTCACTGGCAGAATCATCCTCGGATTCCGGTGGGACTTGCTCATCAAAAGACAAAGATGAAGTAGAAAACTCCATAAAGAAGAGAAGAAACAAAAGAAGAAAGCATTGAATGCATGGAATGCATTCAATGCTTTCTATTTATAGAAGTAGTGCTATTTTTGGGTTTTGTTGTAATTGGAGGGAAATGAAAAATTTCCCAAAAAAATTTCCCTCCTGCATGGACTTAAGCATTTAAATGTAATTTGTAGTGAATAGTGGTGTAATGATTGTGTTGATTTGATATGTTTCCTTCCCCTTATTTAATTAAAAAAAGTACACCCACTTTCCTTACACTTTCTCCTTTTTCATTTAGGGCATGTGGGGGGTATTTTGGGCAACTCATGTGCAAAAAAAACCTTCCTTATTTTGGGCTACTATTCCAAATGGGGAGTTTTATATGAGACGGAGGGAGTATATGTTTTAGATTAAACTGTTGTTATTTGTGAATATATCAAAATATTTCAATCAGGTAATTAAGATTGAAATAAGTATTTAGAACAAGTATGAGAGTTATATCTCAACTAAAAGTTTCACGTGGTTTTTTATTTATTCCTAATTAAATACAGTTCCACTAGCTGTTCATTTAAAATTAATTAAAGAACATAGAATGCCGAAGGACATTATGCAATGTACATTATAATTGTGTACTATTTTTATTTTGGGATAAACTTAAAATATGTCGATACAATTTTGAGAATAAGAGCTATGATTTGCTCTTGTTTAGTTGATTTGTTTTAATTTAATATTCCTCATCTCCAAAAGAATGCCACATCAGGTAAAACGAAACAAAATTTTAATTTTTTCAATTTATTTTATTTAAAATATTAGAAAATGCCATGGATATATTTTCAAGATCTATCATCATTAATTAGGACTAGTATATGATTATGATTACTCCTATTCCGTCCACCATATATGTTGATAGCTCTGTTAGCTTATTCGCGTATAATACGCGTATTATACACCCGTACGTATGATACACGTATTATACTCTCGAATACGAATTTTTAATGGGACGAACGTATAATACACGTATTTTTGACCCCAAACGTATTTATGAATTTTATACGTATTATATTGCAAAATCATTGGGGTCAAATTCAGATGAGATCAAATAAATTGGTTGTCTTTCTGCAAAAATACAAATCTTTAAAATTTGGCGACTCAATTATTATAAAAGTATTAAAATTCGAATTGTAGTTCAAGTCATCCTCCAATACCTTTTGTTAATAAAATGTCACCTACACCCTACCAGTTTCTTCGACTTCGTCCGGCTGAAAATCCAACATTGCATCTGCACTAGCGAATAGTAGACCAACATTTTTCTCTATTTGTTTAGATTTTGAAAATGTGGTCAATTTTTTGTATTTAGTCCTTAAGATTAAATATTTGTCCACGTTTAAAAATACAAATTTGATTATATATATATGATCTAAATTCAAAAAAATCTAAGTTCGTAACTATATATTTGTATTCTAAAAATAAAAAATATAGACTAAATTTAATTTTACTCAACTTTTAAATTGTGTAAAGCATTATTTAGTANTTTGAAATATCAGACGTATAATACACGAACGTATCCGTATACGTACTCCGAACGTATAAAATGTATAATAAGACGTATTTAAAAAAAGTGGTTCGTATTATACACGAACGTACGAATAGACGTATTATACCCGTATCCGAATAAGCTAACAGAGGTTGATAGTGATCTGCATCTGATATGCTTAATGTGTGAGAAAATCTCAATGTGTAAGTAAATCTCAATCGGGAATTTGGTAATCTGGTGAGAAAAATCTGGTGAATAAATTTTTTTTATTTTGTTCCCGGATATCACCAACACACTGTTAGTAAACCACGTTAAATCCCTGTTTTTATGTAATTGTCGATTGTTTACATTCATACTTTCTTGAATGTGTAATAACATAAAGATTGGTCTAAAAATAAAAAAAAACCTATTTCTTTTGGTCCTGAGTATTTCTTCACTTTTGACTTTCTTTGGTCAAAATAGGGAAACTTTTATAACCAATTATCTAAAAATGATACTCCCTCCGTTCCTTTAAACCCTTATACTTTTGACTTTTGGCAAAAATAAGGAAAGTGTAATTTTGGTTGACTTTCCAATTTTGCTCCTGATGTGATGGGTAAAAGTAAGATGTGATAGTTTGGTTATTAGTGAAAAAGTATGATGTGATAGGTATGATATGAAAAAGTAAGGGTAAAAGTGTTTTTTAATAGAAAGTGGAAGTGTTTTAGGGAATTAAAAAAACGAAAGGGGAAGGGTTTTGTGGAACGGAGAGAGTATTAGGTGTTGGTACAAAAATAATTTTGTTCATTTTATATAATATTTTAGAAATATTATTTTACCTAATTAATATTTAATATAGTTATTTAATTATAGGTCAAAAGTTGCAAATATTTGACTTCAAAAAGTCAAAATTGGACAAACACTCAAGGATGGATGTAGCACAAGTTAAAAAATAGGTCAAAACATTTACAAAACAAAATGTTGTAAGAATGTTTTATTTTATCATCGTTGAAAACACAAAAATAAAAAGAATTCGTAAATTTTAATTTTTGGGAAAGAGAGTGTACAAGTACTCCTAGTTTTTTAAACAAGTAGTGCTCGGTAGTTAATTAATAGAGTAATTTACGCAAATAAGATTTAAATATATCACCTTTTTCTGAATAGGATCAATCTCATCTGATCCAATGTTTGGCAACGGAAAATTATATATAAAATGTCATGCATTTGAGAAAATGACTTATTATACAATTAAAGTAAAATAAGAGACATTAATAAAAATAATTTGAATAGTCATTGAAATAATCGATCATTATTCAACACTCTTTGCTAATAATGACCACATTCGTAGAATCATTTGCATAACCAGTCATTATCCAACACTTGTTGCTAAGGAGAACATATATGACATATCATATGTCCTTCACATTTGACTTTTCTTGGTCAAAGTTTGTAAACTTTGACTACGATTTGTGGAAAAAACACATTGTATTATAATCTAAATTAAATTTAATATCAATATATTCATAATGAAACGTCGTTTTCAAATATCAAATTTTTATAAAATCTATCTATGTATAAATATAAATATTAATGGTCAAAGCGTAATATTGGAGAACGTGAAAAGTCAAATGAGAAAAACATTTCCAGACGGAGGAAGTATATTATGTGTGTAGTTGTGTACACATGACATTATTATTATCCCCTCCAAAAAAAAGTATTGTGTGCATACATACACTAGCTACGTTTTCATACACGTACATGATATACTATACTCGGTATATATCAACAATTAATTACTATCAAAATTTGTACTTGATTTTATTTTATACTGGTAAATTTGATTAAATAAGGCGGCCGGCGGCCGGCTGTGTGTGTGTGTGTGTGTATATATATATATATATATATATATATAGATAAACGTGGCTTCTGTGGTATCCCATCAAAGAGTATAAAATATTGGTTCAAACGTACATAAAGACATGGTCCAACGAACTATTGCTGTCTGTCTGATCTAAACTCACGTTATTTTTTGCTACCAAAAACCTTAAAGGACGTATTTTTTATTTTATCGGTACGCCACAAGCTAACTAAGAAGGACACGCACGGCGAATATATACCATTTTTTATATTATATGCATCAAAATGCCTTTTGATTTCCTCGGTTTTTTAATGAGAGAATATCTCACATCAAAAAAGTGATATATATATATATATATATATATATATATATATATATTCTTGGGTTGAATAAAATAATCAATTGAATTCAATATTTTAATGTGTTTCAGCTTAAGATCTCCATGGGGCCTTAATGGGTACGTGTCGGGGTGACACCGTGACATGGGACGATGGCCACGATAGAGTGTGTGACCCCGGCTACCCTCTCATCCTTAAGATTGAAGGATAAGACACCTGGCTGGCGACTCAAATGAATAATTAGGAATAAGGTGATTAATTTGGTTTTGTTTTAAGAATGATTTGTGCTATTGTGGTCTTAAAAATCTACAAACCACGTGTAAAATCTGAAGTTTCTAACATATTTTAAATGACACGTATTTTTCATGGCACATATTTGATTCTCTTATTTTTACAAGGCTCATTAGATAAAATTATCTTACCTATAAAGGTTTATAAAATGAATGTGGACCTAAAGATAAAAAAGTTGCAATTTAACAATATACGCCCTATACACATAATTTAATAAATAAGCATTACTAGTTATCCATCTAGAAATTAAAGAGAAACTGTATTTTGCTTCGTACGCAGTATTCACCTGGCCGTTAAAGTCTACGTGTAATCTCTAGAGTCGGGCTCGAACTTTATGTTTGCCTGGCTCGTGGGGTGCCGCGACCCATCCAAACTCAAGTTAGAAAATTCTCATTATATAACGTCGCAACATGACTTCGTTTATGACTTGGTTTTGATTATAGGTCTAGCTTCTCTACAATATAAAGCAACAACAACAACAACCCAGTTAAATCCCACAAGAGTAGAGTATGAGGAGGGTGTGTGTACGCAGACCTTATCCTTACTCGAAAGTAGAGAGACTGTTTCCAAAGAGACCCCCAGCTCAACATCATTGCTTGACTAACTGCTACTTCATTAATTAAAGAAACGCTAGATATTCATTTTGATTTATTCCATCACACCCCAAAGCCAAAAAATGGTGAAATTTTGGCTCCGTCGGAGATGATGGAAATGACACTACAATATAAAGCAAAATTCACATTTTAGTTTTACTCACTCTGGTCATAGTAACTTTTAAAAAGCAAGAATACTGGAATTTTTTTAACAATTATCAACAAGAAAGAAAACAAATATCAACTTTTTAACAAACTACTCCATAAGAATCGACTAGCTATACTACTACTTGTTCCGTAATTTTCTTCATGTTTTATTTGGTCAACACATTTCAATTTTGAAAATAAAATATGGAAAAAATATGTTTTGTTATAATAAGGAGTATGATAGCTATCACATTTCAATTTTATTTGGTCACAGCAGTCTTACTTTTTCTTATCCTAGCTATAATATTTAACTTTTTCACTAAAAATCTACATCTTACTTTTACTTATGACATATTTACATCAAGGCAAAATTGGAAAGTCCCTTACAAATATACATTCCTTATTTTGTCTTAAAGTAAAAACAGAAATGATTTTAAGAAGAGAAATTTATCTAAATAGGACTAAAACATAACGACTTTTCCATATGACCATATGTTTTTATTTCCCAATGTAGGACCTTTGGTCATTATCAATTAGTCATTATTCAAGTAAATGTCCATCATTACTAGATATTATTCCTCCCACTAGACATTATTAAGTCATATTTAGAGAATAAAAAAGTTTAAGTCCTACATTGAGAAATGACTTATGTTTTAGTCCTATTTATATTAGTACAAATTTTACTTTTAAGAAACGAAAGAAATATTAGACAACTTAAATTAGAATAAAAGGAACATATGTATATACAAATAGAGATTTTCATTAGTGAGAGTTAATGTATTGGAGACCGTGAGAAAAAGCAAACAAAAAGAAAAATTATGGGATAAAAAAGAATACTCCCTCTGTCCCAAAAAGTCTTTCATGTTTCATTTTTTGCGCATATCAAAAAACACTTCTATCCCGCCTTGAATGCCAAAAAAACTTTCAAAATAACTTCTACCCACAATAAAGAAGAAATGTTGTAAATTTTAGGCATTTTAGATGTCGGTAGAAATGTTTTATGTGATGTACAAAAAATGAAACAGGAAAGACTTTTTGGGACGGAGGAATAGTTATTAGGCTGTAAATTTTCTGCCAGAACTCATTAGAAGAGAAGAAATAATTTCATTGCCATATAGCTAGACTATAATACTCACAGTACAACAAAATAAAAATAAAAAGGCATCGGAAAATGAAGGCCGGTCTCCCTCTAGCTAGTATCTAGCTAATCCTCCATATTATAATGTAGCCAGTAGGCTAGTACTAATTGACTTAATTTCTTCTCCTCTAAAATAGAAATTAATAAAACTGACAAGCACAGATTAAATACATACATCACACACTAGTTCATTCTTAGCTAGCTATCCTCACCTCCTCCCATTCCATGTCCTTAGCCAAACAATTCATTGATTAATTATCAACTTGTAGTTCCAATTACCCTTTTCTCCTCTACCCCTTGTCAACGTTTCTTGGACCCTCAGATCACACGCAAAGGACGTTCTGAGGGTCTGAGAAACGTACGCGGGGTTGAGGTAGGATAGATTCATCAGTAGAAGTACATCTCTCTATGACCGTCGTCCCGCTTGTTCTCGTAGTGATCGAAGAGCAAGTAGTCGCTCGCGTTGATGGTGCGATTAACCCCATCTTCGACGACACACGCCTCATTGTTGCTAGTCACGAGGTCCGTAACAAGATCAAGATCGTACTGCAACTGCAGACCATCATCGGCAGCATTGTTGTCGTTGTTGTTGTTCCAGAATATCCCGGCTTCGTTGCTCATCGTCACGAGGTGGCGGTTCTCGTGGGCCCGGTGAACGTCCATCGGGTACGCTGCCGGGCCCGGTGCTGCCGAGGACGACGACGACATCACAATCTGATTGTCAGCACCGCCGCCGCCGCCTTGGAAACCGGGGTGGTGCAGCATGGTCATGAGGTGTTTATTATTGGTATGGTCAGAGTGTTGCTTGAGAGGATCAACTTTGGGTGTGTCGTAGCTGATTTGGCCGCAACTCCCATCAGACGAGGACCCACCACTCCCCTGGTCACCCCCAAACACCTGATGATGATGATGATTGTACTGCTGCCCCATTGTCATGGGATTCAGCAAACCCTGATTATTATTATTGTTGTTCATCATATCATACATGAAACAATCATAGTAGTGGTGGAGGGAGAGGGTGTGGTCAAGCCCGGAAAATGGGAATGGGTTCTGGTGAAGGAGGAGAGTCCCCGGAAGTGTCGACGACGACGACGAGGAGGCTCTCATCATCATGTGCTTGGAGGAAGGCGGCGGAGGCGGCGGAGGAGGAGGAGGAGGTGGAGGAGGAAGGAGCATCATAGACATGAGCTTCTTCTTGAGCTTGGTGTTCCAGTAGTTCTTGATGTCATTATCAGTTCTTCCTGGCAATTGGCCTGCTATTATTGACCACCTGGATGCCATTTCCAATTCAACCAGTTCACACACATACATATAATCATCTCTACTGAAAGCATTACTCCGTATAATTTATGAATAAATTACAGTAATATAATAAATTACCTGCTCCCAATGGTGGCATAGAGGCTGCAGATGATTCTGTCTTCGTCGTCGGTGAACTCGCCGTGCTTTATGTTGGGTCTCAGATAATTCAGCCATCTCAATCTGCAGCTCTTCCCGCATCTCTTTAGTCCTGTATGTCAAAGAACCAACTCAACCATAAATATAATCAAATCCCAGAAAAGTATCCCAGAAAAGTTTTTATATTCTAACATGGAGAAATAAAATAGATACCAGCTTTTTGGGGGAGAGCAATCCAGTTACCGCCAGTGCCATTCTTGTCAATGAAGTCTTTGAGCTTAGCGTCTTCTTCAGGAGACCAGGGCCCTTTCTTCACCTTTGCCTTATCGCAACATGGAGCTCTCCCCATTCTCTCTCTCTCTCTCTCTCTCTCTCAGTAGTTGTACCTCTTCTACTCAATTATATATGGGAATTTTATATATATATATATATATATATATATATATATATATATATATATATATATATATATATATATATATATATATATATGTTGGGACTGCGCGTGCCCTCACCCCAACCCCGCATTAGTATGATATTGTCCGCTCTAGGCCAAGCCCTCACGGATTTGTTTTGGGCACCTCCCAAAAGGCCTCATACTAATGGGGTTGGGTGAACCTATATATTTTGCTCCATTTTTCCTTCTCCATCCGGTGTGGGACTTGGAGGAATTGAATCCCAACAAAATATATATATATATATATATATATATATATATATATATATATATATATATATATATATATATATATATATAGGATTTGCTACCCCAATTGTACATCACTTTTTTTCATAGACATGAATATTTGTGGGTCTCTGGTGAGAAGGTGATGTACACTTGGGTTGCACCACCTTGGGATATACTTAGATTTTTCCTATATACTTCTTGATAAAATAAAATATTCTCGATGCGGACCTCTCGATACTAAGTAATGGCCGCTATTTTGATTACAATTTTATTTTCTCTTTTCTCGATAATTTTTGTTTGTTTGTGAATTTTCATTGATTATTTGTTAACATAAAATATTCATGTCGCAACTTATTTTGTAGAATTTTTGATATAATTTTTTAATGTATAATTTTTATTTTTTATTCATATTTTAATTTGTAAATAAAATACTACCTCCGTCCCACTGTCTTTGTCCACATTTGACTTTAGGAACTGTTATCTAAGCACTTTGACTCATCAAATTCTCTCAATGTGTAAGCCTAAAAATAGTCATGTGTGATCTTGTTTGATTCGTCTTAACATATAGATTATTAATATATAATTTCTATAATTTTTTAATATACAAATTACAAGATAAAATGGATTAAATAAGTGCATTGGATGGTGTGCCAAAAAGTAAGTAGACAAAGACAGTGGGATAGAGAGAGTAATTTCTAGGAGTAGATTGAATATTGGTGCGGTAGTGGACAAGTAATGGGCATTTGCCCGTGTGTGTGTCAATGTGTCTGTGACACTGTGCTTTGTGTCGCGCTTTGTCGCTTTGAGTTACGTTTGGCGGCCTGATAATAGATACATAATGCGGTTGAGCCCAAAACTGAGATCGAGCTGGCAGCAGAGAACATAATCTATAGTTTTACTTTTAAATAACTAATTAGGGAGAATATATAATGGGTCATTTTGTTTTAATTTGAATTGTATGATAACATAAAATAAATACCCAGTAGATAAATGAGGTGTTGTTAAATCCACCTCATATTTGACGAAATCTGCCTCATTTGTGCGAGGATTGGAGTGTATTTATATTGTAACAAGTGAAATTTACAATGTAGTACCACAAATTTTTACTTCCTACATAGTATTTAATTATAGACGTTGATCATGAACAATGTCTAGTGGTGGTGGACATTGAACAGTGGTGGCGGGGATTTTAATAGTGGTGACGATAGACATTGAAAAGTGATACTCCCTCCGTCCTGGAAAACATGGGAGTTTTGATTTTGAAAAAGAATTTAATGGGAGTGTATTTTAGTATTAAATTTCCAAAAATGCCCTTTGATGTGATGGGTAAAAGTATGATTTGATGGATAGATTATTAGTAAAAAAAAGGTATTGATGTGATAGGTAGGGTATGAAAAAGTAAGGGGTAAAAGTGACTTTTTAATAGAAATTAGAAGTCTTTTTTGGGACGGATGAAAAAAGAAATGAGAAAGGTTTCTATGACGGAGAGAGTACTAATTAGTAAACTAATTAGAGAAATTAAAACATATGATATAATATTAAGAAAGACTATATAAGTAAATTTTTCTTGTAACAAATGGTGTAAATTTAGTTATAGGGGTGGATTTTGCAAAACTCATGGAGGCGTGAGGAAACATAGTCTATAGTTTTACTAGGGAGGATAGATGATGGGTCCATTTCATTTTGAATTGTAAGATACACCTCTTTCTTAGTTGTTTATCTGATTTAGTTTTTTGAGTCAATTAGATTAATTTTAGACATCAATCAAATACTAATTATAATATATATTATTAGTATATAAATATGATCCAATTAGACTTATATATCTAGTAGAAATCTTTCAAATTTTGTGTAACGCCCTAGCCCCCACCTTGGTAGGAATTGAAGTGTATATTCATAGGATTTTAGACTCGTTCACAAACCAACACAAATTTTTCTGCACACTTTTTTCATCAATCGTGCGCGCCTAAGAAACTGCTCAGGAGGGAAACCCATAATCCTAGAAACGCTTCAAATCGAGTATGCTTGATTTTGGAGTTTCCAATTAATGTGCTTTCAAAATGAAGATATATCTTGTCGGTATGAGTAGAACCATCAATCTTTTTAACTCTTTCCATTCCATGTTAACCCAGTGTATTACATTCACTTTCACTTTGGAATACAATGTTCTCGTTGCACCCTTTTAGAAATATAACACAAAGTAATATTTGTCTGATGTCATTTTTGTATAGTAGTTTTCTAAACAACAGACTGATCTATCTTTCAACTACTTTTTAAACTAGAAGCCTACACTTTTGGAGGACAACACCACGTAACAGGAGTCTGAAATAGTAAAGAATAGTAATATTCATTATAAATAGACAACAAAAAATCACAATTATCTTTAACTCAAGAAAACAAATATCTTACACCGACGAGGACAACTTCATAAACATATACTCTGAAATATTAGAAAATAGGTGTCGTCAACCATTTCACACAACTGTTTTTAAATAGAAATCCGTCAATCTATCACACTACTGCTCGAAATACTACTAAGAAAAGAGTTGCAGCATCTGTTTTTGGCACAATGTCAACTACTCAATGATGCCGAGCTCAATTATGCTACTCCTAAGATGGAATTTTTATGCTTGTTACAAAATGTGTGTTCTTGTGTTCCTAAGATCGATCACCGTACCATAACATAAAGTATTTTCAATACTTGTGCTTCAAGGTGCTCACTAATGCAAGCTCTAGCTTTGTATCAATGATCAATTTGCTGGGAAACAATTCTATATTTTGTTGTTACCATATTTATATTTCCTACTTTAATTTGTTTCATACTCTTTGGTTAGGAATAGGAGTAGAAGTTTCATTATTCAATAAAATGAATTATTATTAATGTAGTACTAATTATGCAAACACTACATTAAATGAAGCACTTAGACTTTCTTAAGATTTCAAATGAAGCGCACTTATGGTGACATTGAAGTTTTGTTTCGTGGATATTAATATTCGTACGGCATACATAATGACTTTATGTATCTTACGAAACAACCAGACTAAGCTAACTTATGTAGGGCCAATATATTATGAATTTATGATGCAATTAATATGCATAATAGTTTTAATTTTTATATGATACAAACTCTGAGTTACTCCTTTGTGCAAATCATTAAGCTAGATAATCAAATAAATGACTCTTTGTAATGCGATTTAAGAAAATGAAGTATATGATAAACATTTACAAGTTATATTATACAAACTCTATGAGTTACTCCTTTGTGCACATAATAAGTAGTACGGAGTAAGATGACTTAAGAAGCTTATATTTTAAATTTTAATAGGACTTAATAATTGTTGGAAATTTTAAAGTAAATTGGACATTTTCGGACATAAATTCGGTAGGGTCCACAAAATTGTTTTCCAAAATAATTATAGACGATTAATCTCGTAAGTAAGACGAACGTCTTGACATATGACACGTCATAAACAGTGCTCGGGTGAATGAGAAATTAATTCTCAAAGTTGAATACTAAGGTAGAGTAAATGCCTTTGTTCCACACCGGTTTCTAAACCCTTCGTATTCTCATATTTAAGCTTAGGCATTGAATTGAGTTTATGAAAGGAACAAGAAGAGGACTCCTCGCGCGCCCGCCGCCGCCGCCGTCCGGCACGCGCGCCGCGGCAGGGCTAACTTTTTACGAGACCAAAACGAAACGCGCGTGTACAGTTAGCCAAGCCTCCGGCAGCGGAACAGTTTTCGGAAGAAGGGTAAGGAAAGCGGAGTCGCCGGAGCTTTCCTTAAGGTAGTATTATGGAATTCGGATTCGGCATCGCGGGTTCCTCCGGCAGCGGAATGAGTTCCGAAGTTCTGGTCGAAACCACCTCGGTCGCCATGGTTGTGCCTTCCTCACTGCTGCCCTTCGGGTCAAGTCTTGGGGCCGCCACCATGACCTCCTCGATGCCGAGCTCGATCTTCGGGTCGGCCCCTCGACCCATTCCTGGGCTCGAAACCACGGGGGATAACCCCGTCGGCAATTCAAACTCGTTTCTCGGACCGACTATGGCTTCGGCCTCGACGGTCAACTTTGGACCGAACGCGGGTTTCCCCGCACCGGTCAATCCTTTTGTTGGCTTCATTGGGCTGGGGGGATCTTGCTGCAGGTACTCAGCAAATCCCAGGACGGTAAAAAAGAACATCATATTTTGTTGCCACATTTTGAAGTTCGGATTAATTTCATTTTATTTTTCCCGCTGTAATATTCATCAACAATGACCTAATGGGAGGAATAATGTCCAGTAATGACGGACATTTACTTGAATAATAACTACTTTATAATGACCAAAGGTCCTACATTGAGAAATAAAAACATATGATCATATATTGGGAAAGTCATTATGTTTGTCCTATTTAGGTAAATTTTTCATTTTTAAACTAGGATTATATTGGTGATATAATTCACGATAAAAGCCGCATTTTTGTAGTACGTGCATAGATGTGCTCCAGTGTTATTCCAATTCAATTTATTCTAGGATATAAGCAAACCTAGAAAAACATGCTTTTACGTAATTTATTACGGAGTAGTCTCTAGCCTTATCTCAAATTTAAACTGAAACTTCGACTTTTACAGTTTTATGAGTACTGCTCATTATTTATACCTCATAACGTTTTATACGGAGTATTATATATACCGAGTAAAAAT